AGGGTGTGGGGGGTGGGGTGGTCTCATTCACATTGTACATGCTTCTCCATAAAAATCATCATCACTCACCCTAAATTATGAACGGTCCCTAAGCAGTGTTGCAGGAAGGGATATCATCCTATGATGTTTTAATGCTAAATGGGCCAATGTAATATTTTGATTATATTGTAATTCTTTTTGCATAACATACATGCAGCTTTTCTAGTACCCCCTTTTGTTTTTGTTTCTTATCTATTCTATGGGTATGTGACACACTACTGGGAGAATTCTGTTTACTTTGTATGAAAACAACTTGAAACACACATGCCACTGGTCAAACTGGCTAACTCATGTACTGTTTTCAGCGTGTTTTTGTGTAGTTGTGTCTGTTGTCTGGATGTGTTCAGAACAATTATTAGCAAAGGATTATGGTGATGTTTAATTTATTATGTTAATGCAGCTTATTTGAGGTGTTATTTTGTCATCTCTGTTGGAAGCATTTTCAGTTTTGGTATCTCTGAAACTTCAACACTATACAAGGCCTTTGAAGGTAATCTGTTGATCCCAGACTGATTGGTTTTATACAAGTTCTCACAGAGTCAGGTGCAAAATATCTGATTGAAAGCTTACATGCATGCACTGAATTCAACTAAAGCTTTATCCATATTTAGAGGCTGTGGCCTTTTGAGGCAAAGCAAAGCAGGATTCATGTACATTAGATAAAAGATCACAAAAAGTGGCCTGTAACCCCCGCTTGAAATGTATTCGATTATTTTGAGGGTTTAGGGTTAGGTTTGGAGTTAGGTTTCGGGTTTAAGGTTAGGTATAGGCTGTTTATAAAAAAACATTGGCGTATATTCTTAGTGATATAATGATTAAAAAATATGGGGGTTACGGTTGGAAATCTTTACCAAAAATTGATAAATAAATTAAATTTAGTTCTTCAAAATATGTAAAAGATTATGTGAAAGGGTTGTTGGACAATTACTGTAAGGCACATGTTAATTCTAGTAGTAAATTCCAAGGTTAACCTTTGACATCGCCAGGCACCTATAGCCTTACAGTCCTGTCACTCATGGGCAGATAACATCTACACTGCTGAGGTGTAGCCAGTGGCAGATTAATTGAAAACCCATGGTATTTTTAAAGTTTACACTGTGTCCTTTAATCATAAAACTCAGTATCGTTAAACAATACATTAGAGAACTAACCACCTGCCCTTGAAGTTCCATGATGACCTGTATCCTACGCAGGACCCACCCAACCCAAGTACCTGAGGTTCACATGTTAGCCCTACTTTCCCCTCCATGCTTTGAAAGGCACCACACACCTGGGTCAGACAAGATAACCTAACAGAGCACATGTGTATCAGGGCGTGGTGTCATCCCAAAGATTACACACCTGCCTTGTCAGCCTGCTCATTGGGTAAACCTCTTTGGTCATGTGGACAAGGCTTCCCTATTCAGATCAGAACGTCCTTGGTTCAAATCCTAGCTTGGATATCTAATGGCCACTACACTGCTGCCATGTTCATTTGACCAAAGATGTGATATGTCGGATGAGTCCATGCACTGCTACATACAGAGCTCCAGATAAGCCTTTGGCCATGTGGGTATGATACCCATACTTTTGAAACTAAGTGGGTATTTCTGATTTCAAGTGGGTATCTATACTTTTTGATACCCACCATCATTTTAAAATCTGGTTATTCATTTCAAATAACAAGTGTAAAGAGGTGTGCCTGACACACACTACAACGTGACCTCATAAGACCTTTTGTTTATTCAAAATTAACCATGGATATTTTCTTTTCCATGTAGCAACTAGCTTTTTTTTCAAAACCGCTGCGAACAGCTAATGTTACAAATTCATTTAAGATATCACCGGCAATTGATTCTGATTGTGAAACACAGCCTAATATTAATTCATCTAGCAGTCCTCTAATGAAGTTGTTTTCTGCTTGTAGCGTGAAAAAAACTAGATATTTTACTTTGAGCGTGTGAAAGCTTTCGACCATGCTTGCTTTGTTTACAGGACATATACGCAGGAAACAGCTATTTGATTGGTCGCTATTGATAGATTGGCCAATCAGTGAAGGGTTAACAAACCATGACTGGTATTCTATCTGCGTTGCGCATCCTAATTGTGTTTAGAAGTATTCAAGAATATTTTAATCGCGAATATTTGCAGATGGAAAAGTTTGTTTCGATTGGCTTGAATTGATACGATACGCAACATAATTTAGATGTATTAGGTAAATACGCATTCATATTTTGATATACCATAAACGTAAATATTTAGTGTTTTTTTCATACGCTGGCATTTATTTTTCTTGCGTATTTCAACTTTTCTACAGCGTATTGTACGTAAATACGCAGCTTATCTGGAGCTCTGTACATATGTACTATGATGTAGAGGTTTCATAAAAAAGGAATTTTAGACAAAAAGAACATAACATTTCCATTATTGTAATTTATGTAACAAAATGTGTCCATTTGTTTACTTTACACCATAATCATGAAGACAATGAAACTTGTTCTAAAGTGAATTGGGGTTGGAATCACTTCTGTGTATTCATGTTGCTATAATACTGACACATTTTGTACTGAACTATTTAGCTAAGAAATGGCATATGCTTTATCATGGTTTCAATATTCAAGAAAGGATCTTTTTGTTATCCCCCTGCAACACGTTTTGAGGGGGCTATTATTTTTGACATTGTCCATCCGTGCAAATTTGTGTTTTCCAGAGCAGAAGTTTAAAACCGTTTACTGTTTCATCACCAAACTTGGCACATAGATAGGTCTGGTGGTTAACTGGTGCCTTTCGGTAGCTTGGGATATCTGAATAAAATATTTTTTTGTGTGTCCGAAGTTTGACTTTGACTGAAATTGGTGTTGGTGCTCTTTTACGGGGCAGAACTTACAAACCCTTTATTAATTCTTCACCAAACTTTGCACATAGATAGGTCTGGTGGTGAACTGGTGCCTGTTGGTAGTTGTCTGAATAAAATAGTTTTTTTGTTTCCATGGTAACAAGTTTTACTTTGACTGAAATTGGTGGTAGTGCTCTTTTCCAGAGCTGAACTTTAAAGCACATCAATACTCTTTCTATCCTAGCCACATAAAGAAACTGTGCATTGTCAAAATATGATCCCAGTTGATAAGTGCGATAACGATGTCAAAGGTACATATAAACTTTAATGGAGGGATCATGAGACCATAACAAGTCGGGAGAATTTCAATTGAAAAGTCAATCACAATGTCACGAGTCCACAAGCGGGACGGGTCAAACGACCATGTCACAAGCTCAATAACGGGTATGTCCACCATCGGCATTGGGAACAGCAGTGCATCGACGACGCATAGAGCCTATCAAACGTGCAAGGAAGGCTTGTGGGATGTCACGCCAGATTCTCTCAAGTTCTGTTGCAAGGTCAAGGACGTTATCTGGCGGATGAGGAAGACGGCGTGACGCCGATCCATCTCGTCCCAAACATGCTCTATCGGGAGAGATCCGGTGAATTTGCAGGCCAAGGCAGTAAGTCAACGTTGTGGTGTTGCAAGAAATCCATAGCAACCCTTGCCGTATGAGGGCGGGCATTGTCCTGTTGGAATGTTAACCCAGGGCCATGACGTTGCAGAAAAGGAATTGCCACAGGTCGAAGAATCTGATCCCTGTAGCCCACACCAGTTAAGTTGCCCTGAACAATCACCAAAGGAGTTCTTTGGCATGCTGTTATTCCACCCCAAATCATCGGAACCACCACCACCACCAAAGCGATTCCTCTCCAAGACACAGGTCTGTGCATAACGTTCTCCCACGCGTCCATAGGCACGTTGATGTCCATCACTATGGGAAATGTTAAACCTGGACTTATCTGTAAAAACAACATTTCTCCACCAAAACAAGGGTCTGCGGACATGATTTCGCATCACATTCGGGCGAGCTTGTCGATGACGTTGTGTCAGGATAGGCCGTATGGCGGGACGCCGTTGGTCTGATCCCGTGATGACGTAAACGCGTTGTCAAACTGTGTTGGGGTGGATACGGCGAAGTCCTGGGATGGTTCGGGCAGTCATCAATGCAGTCTGAAACCTGTGGCGAAGATGGGTCACCCTGATCCATCTGTCCTGTCTTGGCGTTGTTACGTTAACGTCCAGAACGTGGCCGATCGATGGACGCCATTTGTGTTCTGGTAGCCGCGTCTCACCAGTGCAGAAATGGTGTTCGGGTGGCAGTGGAAATGTGCAGCCACTTGTCGTTGAAACATTCCCCACGGACCATCCCAATGGCCTCATGACGTTGTGCAGATGTGAGCCTTGGCATGCTATGCGTTGCAATAGCCGTTTAATTTTTTGAACGATCGCAAGGGCAGGGTTGAGCTTTCCAAAGTGACAGTATTGTGTGGCATTCATTTGCTCTGCTTCTCTTTCCCGGAACGCACGTGCAACAACGTATTGCACGTCTCAAGGACGAACCCACTGACGTCACGGAACGTGGCATGTGCATGCATGTTGGATACATGTCACTAATCTCTGAGTTTAAATGCTTATGTGTCTACACAGGTTTGATAAATTTTGATTTTAAATTTTTGTATGCACAGTTTCTTTATGTGCCTAGTATACTTTGTGGGTATCCACAAACCTAATGACATAAATCAACAGTACCACTCTATTTCCAGTATCAACGTTACAGAGGTACATCAAACTGTACATTTGACATAGTCATATCTAGTTGACATATTCATGAAGAGTATTTTACCATTGCGGGGGATATTGATGCCTTTGTCTACTTGTGTTGCTTATAAATATGTAGCCACAAAACATTGTGATGTCATTTCTTTTGATATCTATAGCAATATCTCCGGTTGAAGCAAATTGTGGATGATAAGCATAATTAAGAGCTGTTGAAACATGAAACCAAACTGATGACCTTAATATGTGATGATACAGACTATTCCATTGCAGGTATTGAAGATGTTGAATCCATACTCACATAACATGTGATGCTTTCTTCAGGTACAGTCTGCACACTAACTCACGATGCTGCGGCTCAAGGCCCGAGCCGGTCAGATATGCCAGGCAGCTGGTCAGCTGACCCGTGTTGTCCAATCAAGTCCTCTCAAGGCCACCCAGCCCCAGGCCCTACGATACTACTCAGCAGATGAATCGACCACAGCCCAGCCCATCAAGAAACTCCTTGTGGCTAATAGAGGTGAGTTGTGACCCATAAACAATCTTTCACCCCAGGCCATGGGTGGTCCAGTAGTTTATAATAACACTTCACTTGTGATTCGGATCCCTTGACTGTACCAGGATCTGCTGAAAGTGGATTTCATTTACATATTTGCCGTGATTAGAATCATTCGTTTGTCATCCCTATGGACCAAAGGCTGTAAGCTCAGTCATGCAAGGATGCTGTGAAAGTCTGTTTGCATCTCAGATTGATCTGCACCCTTGGTTTGTCAGCAGCATGCCATGCTGGATAGTTCAGTAGATCCAATGAAAATATGGTCAAGTTCCAGATTGGTGAAGGTTTGTTTGTGTCACTGATGTTGTAAACATGGTATACATGTAACACCTGCATCAGTCCCCACCAACAAACTGACTTGCTGTGTGGAACTGAAATTCAGTTGTGTTGACATGGTTCAACTGGTGTGGTATGATAAGTAATTATCCCCTGCAACACGTTTTGTGGGGGGTATTAAAATGGACTCCGTCCATGCGTGCGTGCGTCGTACCGTCGTACCGCAGAACTCTAAAAACCATTCAATATTTCTTCACCAAACTTGGCACATACATGGATCTGGTGGTGTACTGGTCCCTTTTGGTAGTTTGGGATTTCTGAATAAAATAGCTTTGGCGTTTCCATGGTAACAAGTTTGCCTTAGACTGAAATTGGTGGTTGTGCTCTATTCCGGAGCAGAACTCTAAAACCGTTCACTATTTCTTCACCAAACTTGGCACATAGATTGGTCTGGTGGTGTACTGGTGCCTTTTGGTAGTTTTGGAATTCTGAATAAAATACTTTTGGCATTTCCATGGCAACAGGTTCGATTTAGACTGAAATTAGTGGTAGTGCTGCTTTCCGGAGCAGAACTCTAAAACCGTTCACTATTTCTTCACCAAACTTGGCACATAGATAGATCTGGTGGTGTACTGGTGCCTTTTGGTAGTTTTGGATTTCTGAATAAATATTTGTGGCATTTCCATGGCAACAAGTTTGACAAAGACTGAAATTGGGGACAGTGCTCCTTTCTGGATCAGAACTTTAAAAACCTTTCAATACTCTCCTTCCACTTTTCTATATAAACACCTAAATATTTGACATAATCATAACTCATAGACATAATCATGAAGAGTATTTTGCCATTGCGGGGGATATTGATGAATTTGTCTTCTTGTCATTTCTTCTTCTGCAATGGGGGTGGTGGGGTAGCCTTGTGGTTAAAGTGTTCTGTCGTTGTGCCGAAGGCCTGGGTTCGATTCCCCACATGGGTACAATGTGTGAAGCCCATTTGTGGTGTCCCCCGCTGTGATATTGCTGGAATATTGCTAAAAGCGGCGTAAAACCATACTCACTCACTGTTCTGCAATGACAGATTGGTAAGCATTCTTGCTAAAACTTTTGATTTAGTTTATACCTATTTGTAAAAGCTATGGAAATTGATTAAATGGTTGCCACGATGATCGGAGTGATGAATGACTGTCCAAAATCCTTAATTAGTCACACACTGACAGGATTACCATGAATGGCCTTGTGGTTAGCTGAGAGACATATTCAAGGAATCCCTGCTGCCACAGGCCCAGGGTTGGTTCCACTGGTATCTATAATGATGATAATCATCAGATGATGTGGCAGCAACCTGTTTTTAATGGTTTGTCATGATCTATGTATTATAATTCGCTGTTTTATTCAAGGTGAGATTGCTATCCGAGTGTTCCGAGCATGTACGGAAATGAACATTCGTACGGTGGCCATCTACTCCGAGCAGGACAAGATGCACATGCACCGACAGAAGGCAGATGAGTCCTATTTCATCGGCAAAGGTCTTCCTCCAGTAGCAGCCTACCTCAATATTCCAGAAATCATCACAGTCGCTCAGGTTGGTTCATCATCACTCAGTTTAGTTCATCACTGTCGTTCAGTTTGTTAGTTCATCATCATCACTCAGATTAGTTTATCACAGGCATTCATGTTAGTTAATCTTCATCACTCAGATTAGTTTATCACAGGCATTCATGTTAGTTCATCATCATCACTCAGATTAGTTTATCACAGGCATTCGTGTGTGTTCATCATCATCACTCAGAATAGTTTATCACAGGCATTCGTGTTAGTTCATCATCATCATCATCACTCAGATTACTTTGTCACAGACATTCGTGTGTGTTCATCATCATCACTCAGATTACTTTATCACAGGCATTCGTGTTTGTTCATCATCATCATCACTCAGATTAGTTTATCACAGGCATTCGTGTTTGTTCATCATCATTGTCACTCAGATTAGTTCAGGTTAGTTCATCACTGTCACTTCAGGTTAGTTCATCACTTTTGCTCATGTTAGTGGTATCCGTACTCTGTTATGACCGTCCCGTGAAGGTCCGGGTTAGAATATAGATCTTCAGTAACCCATGCTTATCGTAAGAAGCTGTAACGGTGTGGTCAGGATTGCTGACTTGGCTGACACATATCATTGTATCCCAGTGGTGTAGATCGATGCTCATGCTGTTGATCACTGAATTGTCTGGTCCAGATTTGATTATTTACAGACTGCCGCCATATAGCTGGAATATTGCTGAGTACGGCGTAAAACTAAACTCACTCACTGTTATGACCAGTTTATTTGTGATCTTCCTGGAGTTTTGCTTGCACAAACATTCATTGGTCTTCTCTAATTCAGTGAGTGAGTGAGTGAGTGAGTTTAGTTTTATGCAACACTCAGCATTATTCCAGCTATATGGCGGTGGTCTGTAAATAATCAAATCTGAACCAGACAATCCAGTGATCAACAGCATGAGCAACACCACTGTGATACAATGATATGTGTCAACCAAGTCAGCGAGTCTGACCAACCCGATCCTCTTACGGCAAGCATGAGTTCCAATTCAGGCTTCCATTTTACAGTCAACTAGCTCCATTAATCTAAATCACTGCTATGGATAATAATTCCTCATATTTAGTTGATTGTCCCATTTAAACTTGTATACAGGGCAGTATTCTAATGTTCTGCGTGTGCTCATCAGGAGAATGATGTAGATGCAATACATCCTGGCTATGGGTTTCTATCGGAGAGATCTGACTTCGCCAAGGCATGTACTGATGTCGGGATCAAGTTTGTCGGACCCTCTTCAGAAGTGGTGAGGAAAATGGGAGACAAAGTGGAAGCTAGACAAGCAGCCATTGAAGCAGGTGAGCCATCCTCTTAGGGTCCTGTTAATAACATGACAGGGGATTGTAGTTTATCAGCAGTTTATCGGGTAGCAGTCATGACATTGCTGGTTATGCTTCAGACCCAGGTTGATCCTGTCAGCAGCAGTGCTAGTATGTTGCTTGTACCATTTGGAATGAATACAGGCTGGATAAGTTTATCATGCTTATTCTTTGTGTCCATCCATATTAGATGCAAGAGCACAGACTAAGACTGTACAGGTCTCTGTAGGGTAAGGACCCCAAGCCCACGACGGGACATATACCCTGTGGGGATTCCGTGTCATAGGAGGCTCAGTGGTGTAGGTTGTCATTGGAAATTTCAACACTTACAATTATGGAAGTCATATTAGATATAGTCAGGTTACTGACAAAATACATTTTCTTTCTTACACATGCTGTCTTTACTTTTTAATAATTGAATTCAATATGTTCAAGAGAATATTTAGCTAGAAACATGACCTTGATCCAAGATAATGTTTTACTGTATGTTTGTGCTGTCTTTGTAATGCATGTAGTCTTGAATATGAGAACAGTCAGTTGCCATGTATATACATATTGGAGGTAACTATTCCTGTATGGGTTGTTGCACAATGGTACCTGACAGTCAGAGAGTTAGAATCATTATAATGTCTATCAATTAATGGTATATCGCCTTGTAGGTGTCCAAGTAGTGCCAGGAACGCCAGGCCCGGTTGCATCAGCCAAGGAAGCTCTAGAGTTCTGTGAGCAGTATGGACTTCCTGTTATTTTCAAGGCAGCCTACGGTGGTGGTGGGCGTGGAATGAGGGTTGTCAAGAATATTGAGGTTTGTGAACTGACAGGATTTGTAGGGCAAAGTGAGTGTGTGTCTTGAACATTAATGTTGGTCTGATCAAAATTGTTTGCCATTATCTAAATGAATTAGAATAATTAAGAACCAACTAAATATATTTGGGAATGTTTTATCTCCATATATTTGGATGAGCCGACAAGCTCATTTTCTCATGGATATGTATCTCATGGATATGTGTTTGTTTCCGTGGCAGGATGTAGAGGAGAACTTTGACAGAGCGTACTCAGAGGCATTGTCAGCGTTTGGAAATGGAGCACTCTTCCTGGAGAAGTTTATCGAGAGGCCAAGACACATAGAAGTCCAAATCTTAGGTATGTCCTGCATTAGCCTGCTTATAGAACATCTGCAGTATTGTGACTATAGCTCTACAGTAAAGTCTGTATCTCAGTGGGAAATGGGAAATCTGTTTCAAGCTGGTCTGCAGACATCTTTAAGAGCATGACTTCAAACAGTTTCAACAGATCCAAGCATTGATGAACGTTTATATTTAAAATACACATACAGTGGAGGCTTGTCTATATCAGACACTGACTAATCCAGATCTTTCTTTCTACAGGACAAAATTACGATTCTGAATTTCTTGTATTTTCAAGTAGAATCTACATGTAATTATCACTCTCACTCTCCATCCTCACATGTCTTGATGAATCAGCCACCTCCGTGGTGTAGTGGTTAGAGCGTCCGCCTGGAGAGCGGAAGGTCACAGGTTCGATCCCCGGCCACGTTATACCAAAAGATGTTAAAATATATGGTACTTGTTGGTCAATGCCTGGCGCTCGGCAATAATGGGTACAAGGACTGGTCAACTCGGAGACAGTATAATGTGTCTGGGTGGGGTATTCATGCTTCACTCCGGCATGGTATTTCAGTGAGCTTGCACTATAAAACCAGCTTCAGTCTGGGCTAGTACAAGCAGCCACACATACACACACATGCATGTCGTCATATGAGCAAAATATTCTTAAGTACGATGTTAAACCCCATTTCACCTCACCTCTTGGTGGATCAGTGTGTGTACCTTATGTTACGGAGTGATCGCCGAACATTGATTATGACTGAAAGAAAATATGTCTGTCAAGATCACTTTGTCACAATAATATTTCTGCTTTTCATGCGATGTCTCATTTCTATGGAAGGAATAACAGAAAATGCCAAATAGAATAATTGACTGGATTAATTCGAAATCTCGGAATAACTATGACAGTCAATCTCTTGTTTGCACAATACAAGCACGTTTTATATGGTTGCAAAATTTATATAGCGCTTGGTATCCATTCGGAGATATTAGACCGCCTCCGTGGTGTTGTGGTTAGAGCGTCCGCCCGGAGACTGGAAGGTCGCGGGTTCGATCCCCGACCTCGTCATACCAAAAGATGTTAAAATATGGTACTTGTTGGTTCCTGCCTGGCGATCGGCATTAATGGGTACAACAAGGACTGGTCGGCTCGGAGTCAGTATAATGTGTCTGAGTGGGATATTCATTCTTCACTGCGGCATGGTATCTCAGTGAGCTAGCACTATAAAACCAGCTTAAGTCTGGGCTAGTACAAGCAGCCGTACATACTCATACACACGCATGCACGTCGTCATATGAGTGAAATATTCTCAAGCACGACGTTAAACCCAATTTCACCTCACCTCTGAGATATTAAGCAAATGAATTTTTTCTGTGAAAGGAAGTAAAATATGAAATGAGATGTTTATCAACAAATTGAACATGATCATATATATGGAAGAATAGTAACATTCTTAAGTATAAATTGTCTGGAGTAAGGAGTGGGATTGAAGTATTTTCAACGGTATCCATCAGATGTTAGATGATTTTTGATAGTGGTAAAAGGAATGTTCAAATATTAGTCTTCAGCTTACTGAAAAATATCCCATGGTAGTTTGATTGATTGTTTTGCCCATGATTGCTTGGGGAACATAAGGAAAGCGTGATATGCATATTCCACACATTGTTTCCAGGACGGCCATGGGAATGTGATCCACCTGTACGAGAGAGATTGCTCGGTGCAGCGGCGACATCAGAAGGTGGTGGAGATAGCGCCGGCGCCCCACCTGCCACAACACCTACGTGACAGTATGACGGCAGATGCTGTGAAACTGGCACGCCATGTTGGATACAAGAATGCAGGAACAGTAGAGTTTCTGCTTGACAAAAAATGGCCATTACTACTTCATCGAAGTGAATGCTCGTCTGCAGGTGGAACACACAGTGACAGAGGAAGTTACAGGGTAGGGTGGACATGTTTGTTATGGGATGCTGCATCCTCATGTACTATATGTCAACAGCATTAGAAACACAAGATATCTTCCCATGGGTTTACTGCTGTATCCCAGAGGTATTTTGGCTGTAGCCAATCAAAATTCTTCTCTTATTACATGATGTGGACATGCACCAATCAGAACTCTCCTCTTGTGGTCCAAGACTGACTATATCCATATAACCATATATGTTTACCTTGAAACATGGGTGGCTGAGTCAACTAAGGTCCTACAATTCATTATGAAGAGTTGCATCCCTTCCACATGCCAGAAGTCCGTTGTAGTGGTTGTAATCATGATTTGCCCACTTATGTTTCTCGGTTTATCTGCACCATACCTGGACTTGACCAAAGTGGTAAATGTCTGAGACCTGTACCCCTGCAAGCTCTCCTCCAACATGCAGCTGCCATGTAACTGGAATACTGCATTGACTGGAGACAAAATGTTCGAAAATAAGTGACAATCCATACATTTTATTTATTTACCACTTTCCGGTGTATATTCCATATTTGGAACTTATTTAGGCAGTGTATGAAATAAGCAAAAAACCCAGCCAGACATCAGGGCTGGTAACTTCAAAATGCTACCAGCCCCAAGTGGATTTAACCAGTCCAGACACCAACATATGGTGAACTTACTCAGATGTATGGAACATCTGAAACCAGACCATCGGGCTGGCCAGCTGTAGATTTAGACCGTCCGTCAGAAATCTAGCCTGCCTCGGGTGGTCGGACAGGCCTTACTTCATACCCTGACTGATATAGGTAGATTGGGTGAGTGAGAGGGTATCACACAGATCACTTCACACATCCATCATGCTGATGTTAAAAAAAGCCCCTTTCAGTCACCCTCTCGTTTGTGTTTTATCCTATCCACATGAAAATTTGTCATCAGATACTGTACACATAGTTTAAGTATGTGACTCACTGTCAGCTTTCTCCCTTAGGATTGACCTGGTTCAGTCTCAGATCCGAATCGCAGAGGGCAAGTCTCTTCCAGAGCTTGGTCTCCGCCAGGAGGACATCCGGCTCAATGGAGCAGCCATTCAGTGTCGGATGACCACGGAAGACCCAGCCCGTGGGTTCCAGCCAGACACAGGCAGGATTGAGGTGGGTGCATGATTTTGTACATTATGTAGAGATTCTCCAATCGGAAGAGCACCCGATGGAGATGAAGGATGGGAATAAGTCCCCAGCATCCAGTATGGACTGATGTTATTGACGATTCATTCTCCGTGCTAGATTCTTCTGTTGGAATAATGTACCTAACTTATTGCTTCTTTCTGGAAAAATGTAGTCTAGATGATCTGTTCCACATGTAGGCTGGGGAATCGTACACCTAGTATATTTTTTCCCACCTGTAAACATTAGAGTGGGAATGATTCTCCTTTACACTTACATGGCAGACAGATGGATCGGGTGGATCAATGGCTGGCTGGTTGCATGTCACTGCACTTCAGTGATGTGAGACATGACTCAGTCTATCATTGACAGGTTGTCTGTCCTGGCTGGAGTATTGACAGGTCAAGGTCATATAGCTGGAATATTGCTGAGTGGAACATTATGCAGCACACAAACACCTTGAACATTTTTGAGAAATTTAGTCTGTTCCTAAACACTTGTGTTAGTCTACAAATGTAATAATGTATTTGCAATATGATATACATCTTCAGTGTGGTTTACTGGAAGGGATGTAAGATCTTACTTGACATCAGCTTTGTCCCAAATGTCTATCATTATTGCTACTAACTGTTGGTGTCTGTATCCAGATGTGAATAATTTACATGCAGAATTATACCAATTATATCAGCTATGTCAAGTCAGTAACATTTGGGCCCAGTTAAAAGTGCCAGGTGAGATCAAGTGCCAGGTGAGATCAAGTGCCAGGCACCTAAGTGTTTGTGACTTTCCTTAATGGAGAGGAGACTGTGACCAGTACTCTGTGCCGGTATCACGGATACCCAGAGGCAGGAGTACTTGCATTTAAATAATTATGTTGGAACCAAGTTTTGCTGGGACCAGAAACAATTCCTATGCTGGAGTGTAGTTGGTAGTTTAGACACAGTCCAATGTAGATGTCTGGCTTCATCTTGTCATATCTCTCTATAGGTATTCCAGTGGGGAAGGTATGGGAATCCGTCTGGACAGTGCGTCAGCCTTTGCAGGGGCAATTATCTCCCCCTACTATGACTCTCTGCTGGTCAAGGTCATTGCTCAGGCCCGTGACCATCCATCAGCATGTTCCAAGATGTTACGAGCTCTCAAAGAGTTCCGTATTCGGGGTGTCAAGGTGAGTTTCTGTCTGACACTAACGAGAAACGTTCGGTGAGGAATTCCTTCAGTTAGAAGACAGCTGGAGATAAAGGAAAATTTGTGAAAAGTTCATTTATATAACAGAACTGAGAATTGTATGTGTTACACATTCATAAGAATACAGAAAATAATCAGACAAATTAAGGAAGGTTTGTGTGAGGATATTTCCCAATCATTCCTGAATGTAAACTTATAAATGATGATAGTTTGTTATGATCACAGGCTAAAAATGTTACTGATATTCATGTAAATTATATATTTTGTGAATGAAAGTTGCTTTTTAATTCGAATTTTGAATTCATGGTTGTTATGATATTAAATTTCATATAGTGTTCAATGATTACGTTCATGAATAAATGTGACTGTTTTGAGAACTTGAATTGAATATTGTAGAAAAAGCTGATTTATTACTTTGTTTTAGACAAAGAATCACTATTTGACATGTTTATGACTGTCTGTAAGTCTCCCATCTGACTCAGATGATCTGTTGGAAAGGTAACCCCAGGCTGGATGAAAAGCATTATCTCTATTGAATTGGTTTCAGACCAACATTCCGTTCCTCCTGAACGTGTTAGAGAATGAGGAATTCCTCACAGGCGTTCTGGACACATACTTCATCGATGAAAACCCCCAGCTGTTCAGCTTCTATCCGAGCCAGAACCGCGCCCAGAAACTCTTGTACTACCTGGGTCAGGTGATTGTCAACGGGTCCTCCACCCCACTAGCCACCAATCTGAAGCCATCTGAAATCACCCCATCTGTACCCGAGACTCCTGTAGGTAGGTTGAGCCATGCTGTGCTAGGGTGAATGCTTTCATGGTTAAAGGTATGTTAGATTGCAGTGAGTGGTTTTGGAAACCGTTTAGCTTATATAGAGGTAATTTAGAGTAGTTGTGTGGCTGTCTTCAATCGTATAAACATCTAGATAGGTATGGTGACATATCATCAATAATCATCATGACGATGTTACCATGGTTACCTTGCAGTATAGTCCTGAAAGACTTCTAGTGTGTTTACTGTTAGGTAAAGAGTTGATCTAGTTTTCTTCCAGTTTTAGTTTTCATTTCCTAACCAATAACCAGGATAGAATGAACTTAATAATTAAAAACTTATTATATTATCTGAATGAGATACTGTGTGCTTCCTTCTATTCATGGTATGAGTTCTATGAATGTAAATCTGAAAGAATTTACAATTATCTTCACTACTAAATTTGTTGAACTTATTTGTCAAAGCTATTAGTTGAAGGAACTGTAATTAATATTTGATGAATATTTTGTTACTAAGTAATATCTTTACAGGAAAAGAAATTTTAAAAAAAATAAATAGAATATTTGATGAATTAATTTGATATTCTGTAATGTTTACAGGCTTCCAAGGTAAGTGTGGAATTTATGAGGCAGTCTCTGTCAGCATGTTTTTTAAATATGTCGACCTTTTTTAATCAGAAATCACAATATAGATGTGCTTCATTAACTGTAATTTTGCATTAGAAAGATTTAGTTATCTACCAATGATACATAACCCAATAACAATAAAATTGAATTTGCTGCAATAGGCCTCTTGGGTTTCTGTCAGTGTCGATTTGCATGGTTTATTTTGTATTGTCTGTGTAGCGTCTGGTATTTAGGGAACAGTGGTGCTTGTTTTTGTCCAGAATCCTTCCAGTTGTGTATAATAACACAGTGAAACCTTGTTTCCTTGAAGTCACAGTTCAAGACAAGCTATGGGGCAGAGTAGGTCTACTTGGCAGAGTCAGCATAATTAAATGTCCACTGTTGTGTCCTCGGTCTGCTGATGACAAGTTACAATGATTTTTACATGGCTGTAATGGGTACATGCTTCTGTCTCCAAAGGAATAACAGTCATGCACACACATTACATCAGATGAAAGTGGCACACTGTATGTGTGTGTTTTATTGTTCACTGCAGTTGAGAACTTGTTTCCTGATCCCTGTGTGGATTCAGTAATAGAACGGGCCCCTAGTGACTGCCTGACTAGAGACGCTATGCTTGTACGGCGGGGGACACAAGAAATGCCAACAGGATGGGGATGACTTGGTTGATCACATGTTGCACCCTAGGAAATCAGTCAGTGGGTTGTTGCAGATTCAATTGTTTACCGGCTTCCATCACATGGCTATGGAATATGGAATATGCTGTTATCCTCCTAACAAATGCTTCCTGATGAAAATATGAATATTAATAACTTCAGTAGAAGCTGGTATTACGTATTCACATGCTTACAGATCTATAAACTATGAAGCAATATCATCTTAGGGAAGTCTGCTGGTCTGCTCAAACTGCAGTTTCATTAAAATGAATTGTTTTACTCTGCCTGAGATCTGAGGAGTAGCTTCACATTTTCCTGACATGATGAATTAATTTCTATGTTACAGCATCACATATTGTTTAAGGTAAAACTAAGTGTAATACCATGGGATGTATTCATCTATGATGGCTCTACATTGTAACCTTATGACCAGATGTCATGGCTCTCACTATATGTCAGAAATGTAAATATATATATATTTTATCAGTTTGCAGAGTTAACACTCTAACATTTATGTTTTGCCGTTCTCTGCCGTGATATTGCTGGAATATTGCTAAAAGCGGCGTAAAACTAAATTCACTCACTCACTCACTGTTTTACATCGACCAATTAGTTTACAACTATTTTTAAATTTCAGAAGAGAATGGACACTGAGCGGCCTGCAGACCTCCCTAAGTTGTAAAATGAATTAAGTGCTTTAGCTAACAAGGTTTCACTGCCCCTCTGAGTCATAAATTGGGAATTACCATAGATTTTTCATCTTGAAAGTGATCAGTACATACAGATGATTAAATAGAGTATAAGTGTCTTGATAATTATTTCTAAAATGTTTAACAATATCAGTTGCCTTATTGCCCTGTTGCTAGTTCATTGTATCCTAGCGTCTGTTTGTTTGTTTGTCCTTGAACTTTGATTTCAGCTCATTACCTGATCTTAACCAAGGTCAAGGTGAACTAATGTAATGGCGTACAACCTCATTGGCTCCATCAAACTTGTTTTCATTGATGAAATGAGTTAGTGAAACTGTCAGCAGAAATCAAATCTGATTTGAGATATGATTTTTTCTTTCAAGCATGTGAGAGGTGGGGGTCGAGGGGTGGGGGTGGGTGGTTGGGGATCAGTCATTTTGACGCCTGTCTTCTGATCAGTTGTAAGACAGGTGATACTTTAATTATCTATGTTCTGCAACTACTTGGATGAAAAAGTTGGTTCTATTCTGGGTCCAGAGGAAGACAGCAAGTGTTCAAACCAATGAATGTTTGCATGACATAAAACCACACTGTCAACTTTATCCATATCATAAATATATTCCTTTTTGTCCCCTCAAGGTGCTGGGAGGTTGTTGTTGACTATATGAGCCATATTGGAATATATTCAGACATTCAGATAAATATTACTGGTTTAATCTGATTCAAAATGTTCATGCTGAAAATATGACTTAAGTGTGTCATATGTTGACAGTTTTTGCTGCAGAATATTTGTCATATCTAGGTCTCCAAGTCTCTAACTTACATAATTATTTTCTGCCTGTACAACATCGTTTCTTCTTCATCGCCTGATTAAGTTGTGTTTTTGTGGGTATCTCCAGGGCCAGAAGACAATCCTGTACTTGTGTTCATTCTGCATGTTCTCATCATTCCCCATGTCTCTTGACAGAGTCAGATTGTACTACTGTACAAATTAAAAGTTCAAGCTCTGGTGCTGAAGCACAGTTGGTTTCCCAGGGATGTAGAGCAACTTTTAAGTGAAAAAGAAACCGTTGAGCTTTGACTTTCTTGTTTGGTCCAGTTGGAAGTATATACAGATGTAGTTACCCAGGTCTGTCTCACGATGATGTTCATGTCTATTATGTGTCATCAAGACAGGTTGTGTGTTCATGATTAGAACATTGATCTCTACACAGGCTACATGGTATTTAGCTGACTATTACTTTTCATCTACTGATTGGTTAAAGGGGTGAATACAAAATGCCATTTAGATAATGGTCAAATGTAACATGTGTTATATTAATAGTAGATTAATATTTGGCCTCATAGTAGATCAATACTTGGCCACATAGTAGATCAATACTTGGCCTCATAGTAGATTAATATTTGGCCACATAGTAGATCAGTACTTGGCCACATAGTAGATTAATATTTGACCACATAGTAGATCAATACTTGGCCACATAGTAGATCAATACTTGGCCACATAGTAGATCAATACTTGGCCTCATAGTAGATTAATATTTGGCCACATAGTAGATCAAGACTTGGCCACATAGTAGATCAGTACTTGGCCACATAGTAGATTAATATTTGACCACATAGTAGATCAATACTTGGCCACATAGTAGATCAATACTTGGCCACATAGTAGATCAATACTTGGCCTCATAGTAGATCAATACTTGGCCTCATAGTAGATCAATACTTGGCCACATAGTAGATCAATACTTGGCCTCATAGTAGATCAATACTTGGCCTCATAGTAGATCAATACTTGGCCTCATAGTAGATCAATACTTGGCCACATAGTAGATCAATACTTGGCCTCATAGTAGAGATGGCCTCATAGTAGATTCAATATTTGGCCACATAGTAGATCAATACTTGGCCTCATAGTAGATCAGTACTTGGCCACATAGTAGATCAATACTTGGCCACATAGTAGATCAATACTTGGCCTCATAGTAGATCAGTACTTGGCCACATAGTAGATTAATATTTGACCACATGGTAGATCAAGACTTGGCTTCATAGTAGATCAGTACTTGGCCTCATAGTAGATCAATATTTGGCCACATAGTAGATCAATACTTGGCCTCATAGTAGATTAATACTTGGCCACATAGTAGATCAAGACTTGGCCACATAGTAGATCAAGACTAGGCCACATAGTAGATCAATACTTGGCCACATAGTAGATCAATACTTGGCCTCATAGTAGATTAATATTTGGCCTCATAGTAGATCAAGACTTGGCCTCATAGTAGATCAATATTTGGCCACATAGTAGATCAATACTTGGCCTCATAGTAGATCAGTACTTGGCCTCATAGTAGATTAATATTTGGCCACATAGTAGATCAATACTTGGCCACATAGTAGATTAATATTTGGCCACATAGTAGATCAAGACTTGGCCTCATAGTAGATCAATACTTGGCCACATAGTAAATCAATACTTGGCCTCATAGTAGATCAATACTTGGCCTCATAGTAGATCAATACTTGGCCTCATAGTAGATCAGTACTTGGCCACATAGTAGATCAAGACTTGGCCTCATAGTAGATCAGTACTTGGCCACATAGTAGATCAATATTTTGCCTCATAGTAGATCAATACTTGGCCACATAGTAGATCAATATTTTGCCTCATAGTAGATCAATACTTGGCCTCATAGTAGATCAATACTTGGCCTCATAGTAGATTAATACTGGAAGATGTTAGTTTTCCATATGGCCACATAGTAGATCAATATTTTGCCTCATAGTAGATCAATACTTGGCCACATAGTAGATCAATATTTTGCCTCATAGTAGATCAATACTTGGCCTCATAGTAGATTAATACTTGGCCTCATAGTAGATCAATACTTGGCCTCATAGTAGATTAATACTGGAAGATGTTAGTTTTCCATATTTTACACAATAATTTCTTCTTTATTAATACCAATTATTATTTTCAGTGTACAGAGTAGATAATACTAGAAACAGAATATGTTACTAACACCTACCATTAGCAGCACCATGATGTACCGTTCGCTTTTACCTGTGAGAGATACACTTTCACAGTGAGGTACAGATTCTAGTACTTTTGTGTATTTGCACCACAGCTTATACTTTCTGTTGCTGTATCAGTGGTGGTCTGCTATTGTTGGTCATTATTGAACTTTATATGGGCTAGGTTTACTTTGTTTATCTTAGTTCATCCAGGTCAAAATACTCTTCACACATGCTCACACTGGGTTCATGTGGACAAATATCTGCACTGCATTCAGTTTAATGGAGTTATTTTTTCCTCAACATATATTTTAAAACTGTTTTCTTGAAACCATAAATAAACTGTAGACATTATTGTTGGTCAAGTTGTGAGCATGGCAACTGTCTATGTATGTGTCCGGCACCTTCATTCGCCCCAGTGGTATGTTAATGAGTGCCAAGAAAGTTGTGTAGTCAGTGCAGGACCACTTAGTCCTCAGTATGTAAAGGAAGAATCACTCTTATTCACACAGTGAGAAACACACACCGACATTGTAAAACTGTGTCAGACTTTGCACTGCTGATGTTCTGTGTCACAGAGGTCATCAGGTCCGTCAGTACTATGGTCAGCTGGTTGATGGGTTCTTAAGTATCCGTCAGAGATCTCAAATAATGCCAGTTTAGGTGTGGCTGGTTCTGTGCCAGAGAAGAATCTTCATATAAACAACCAAACTTGACTGTAGGTGAGTTCCGACAAAGATGTGAATGTATTAGGAAGACATCTTCAGGCTTGTTCCTGTGTTTGCAGCCACTAAGCCACCTGAGGGATGGAGGGACGTCCTGTTGAAGGAGGGACCAGAAGGTTTCGCCAAGAAGGTCCGGGAACACAAGGGCCTGTTGCTGATGGACACCACCTTCCGAGATGCCCACCAGTCGCTGCTGGCAACACGTGTCCGCACACACGACCTGAAGCGGATCTCACCCTACGTCGCCCACAACTTCAACAACCTGTTTAGCTCAGAAAATTGGGGAGGTACGAATTAAAACTCACTGATGAATGTAAATCTGATTACATGAATGTAAAGTCTGAGGAATCTTTCAAATCTTGAATGTTACATTTAACGAGTCTTGTCTAATAGGAAGAACGCTGTTTGAAGAGAACAGATTTATAGTTTCCTTGTAAACAATTGTCAGGAGTTGGATTAAAGGGAAATGAAATTTGACTGGTTCAAGTATATATTCTTTCTTCCTTTAAAGCGTCCATAATACTCATATTACATGGAACTTTGATGTGGTAGATTCTTCAGAAGCAACCATGATAGACCAAAAGTATGTGCTGAAAATAAAGATGGAAATAATTTGTTGTTAAAATGTCTTCTGATGCCGGTAGCTTTGATACTGTGTCTACATCTGTGTCTCAGATTGCCCACAGAGTTTATGAATATGACTGCAGTGGCAAGCATATTGAAAATGTTATGGTACTAAAACTCAATCATTAATTTACATATCATTAATTCATTTATCATATGCAAAATAAAACTTGATATGCAAAAATGGCAACACAACTGGCAACACAACTGGCTTGTGCTATATTTGAAGGTTGCAATATTGGAGAAAAGAAGTAGCTTGGAAGGATATAACACTGTCACTCACCTTGGACAATTACCTGTGCCTGTTATGTGTATTTTTGCCTTGGTTTTTTTCAGGTGCTACCTTTGATGTTGCCCTGCGTTTCCTACATGAATGTCCCTGGGACCGCCTGGCGGAGCTACGGAAACTGATGCCAAATATTCCCTTCCAGATGTTGCTGAGAGGGGCCAATGCTGTCGGCTACACCAACTACCCAGACAATGTGGTCTTCAAGTGAGCACAGGCGATACAAAATAATAATAGTAGTAGTAATTAGACAAGTTTTTATACATTGTATCCATTTGAGGATTCACTCTCAGCTGCAAGGGGAGTAACTGACATATGCTGCCCGTATATTGTTAGAAGTTTAACATTCACATTGCCTTCTCATCCTACTTGGTACCCATTTACTGTGACAAGCTGTAACATGGAACTCATTCCAGCTTCTTGCTTTAGGTTCTGTGACGAAGCTGTCAAACATGGAATGGACATTTTCCGTATCTTTGACTCTCTCAACTATTTACCAAACATTGTTGTGGGAATGGATGCTGTCGGAAAAGCAGGTCAGTTTCTGTCATGTGAGGATTTGTCGTAGCGATGGCAAAATGCTCATCAAACCGTGTCAAAAAGGATTACGTTTTCATTTGTCTGACGGGGGCAATTTTTTTCTGTTGCTGTGAGGTATGACATTTCCAAGTGAATGTTAAAAGTCCAGAAAACAAATTCCATTGTACTTTGTGTTGGAAATGTATTGGTATGGGGACATGTTTGAAAGCAAGTGATATTTTACAGCAAATCAATGAAAACACTGCTTTGACATCCATCCATTTCATAACTCTTATAAGATGTGTGATGTATTTTCAACATATCTAAGAATCAAGCTAAGAGCTTAGAGAACAACTAAGAAATTAGTCCAACTATTAATTCCAAAATTTAACTACTTTTAGCATTATTAGAACAATTAAAACACTGGTCCACTGTGTTTTTGTGCTACAATGTTTTGCATCTTAACCTGTACCACAGAGTTATGATAGTCATAATTGTGACCCCATGCTTGTATATGTTCTTATGATGGTTATAGTACCATAATTATTGTAACGATACTACATCATGTCACATTGACTTGTTGAAGTTGGACCACGGTTATTGTTACTCTCAACGTAATTTGTCATGGTCGTTGAAATGTGAAGGCAGGCTGACCCATTTAGCCATCACTCTTGAAACCCACACCAACTGTATCAAGCCGTGATCTACTGGAGGAGGTCTCTGTGGTAAAGCATGTAATTCTTACATTCTTTGCATCAGCTGTTTTACATGTGCTACCATCCCCTGTTACCAGGTGGTGTGATTGAGGCTGCTATCTCCTACACCGGTGACGTGTCCGACCCCACCAGGACCAAGTACAACCTCGACTACTACGTCGACCTGGCAACCGAGCTTGTCAAGGCTGGGACACACATCCTGGGAATTAAGGTAAGGCAGTCACTGGCTGTGTGGTGATGTCGGGGAAAGATAGGGCCTTGGTAACTCTGTTGAGGCAGAATAGGGCCCTGGATAACTCCATCTTGGTAAGGATTCTGGGCACAATGGGACCTTTGGTAACTCTTGCCCTGTGAAGATTAAGAGCAGAATATGACCTCTATAACTCTCGCCCTGTATTTCTGATTGAGTGTGGTTTGTTTGTAGACAGGTGATCCAATATGTTGTCATACCTTGACAATATGAATAGATTGTCCTGTTTTGTGTACTGCTTGTCACATCCAAGTAAGGATCCATTTTTGGATGTAGGGCTAAAGCTGATACACTTGCATCACAGTCCACTGAAAGCCCCTCAGTAGTCATAAGACTCATGTTGTGTATGGTGGGGCTCATATTGTGGAAATGTTGATCATGTGTTTCTTAACATGAACAGACAAATGAAGATATATTTTGTGTTTGCTGGTGATACCCTGTCCTTGCCCTTTCAGGACATGGCAGGTCTGCTCAAACCTCAAGCTGCCGAGCTTCTGATCAGCACCCTCCCGAGATAAATTCCCTGATATTCCCATCCACGTGCACACCCATGACACCGCAGGTGCAGGAGTGGCGTCCATGCTGGCTGCCGCTAGAGCAGGAGCAGATGCTGTAGATGTTGCAGTGGACTCCATGTCGGGGATGACGTCACAGCCCAGTATGGGTGCCATTGTTGCAGCCACAGAGAGGACAGATCTTGACACAGGCGAGTGGGCCAAGGAAGCTATTGACTTACCATCACCATATTTTAAGTAACCTCTAGCCCTGTGAGTGTTTTTAACACACTTGCCTACACTTTGTTTACACTGAATGTTTGTTGAGGTGACATTTGATATTTCTTGGTGTGTTTTATTGCACACACTAAACCCTTACTCATAGTTTTACCCACGCAACTCCCTCATTCAGTGTGTGAAATAGTGGACAGTCACTGGCCTCACTGGCTTGTGAATTTTCATGGGGTCATTTTGTAAATATATCACTTTCTCCAACTTGTTAAGTTATAACACACTTTTCAATCATGCAAGATTATGGCCTGATAAAATGTTCATCATATTAGCAGCTTAATGATGTAACCCATGTCAAACCGACAATATCTTATGCTCATCTATTTTCGTAATCTTTTGCTTAGTTTCTACATTCAAATTTCAGGCTAGTGAATTATGTTGTGGGCTAGTAACTTTCAGGCATAGCTAGCCCGACTGGCTAGAAAATTTGGAAACTATTTAGCACACTGCCCTCATCGCTTTTATGTTGTTGTTTTTTTAGAACAAATCTCAACACTGACTTTCACATTGAGATAAGCCCCTTCTTGATGTTCTCCACTATTGCCAAAGGTCGATAGGTCCATGGTTACCAGATGCTCTAGACTGTAGACACTAAGCCAGGAACAAGGGCTGTGAAAAGTGACTGTGACTATGGCCGTGTGTTTTATGTTCCCATCTCTAGGTGTGACGCTAGAGGATGTATCGACATACTCAGCCTACTGGGAACAGACCAGAAATCTGTACGCCCCTTTTGAATGCTGCGTCACCATGAAAAGTGGCAACGCTGACATCTACGTCAACGAGATCCCAGGTGAGTGTTGACTTCACAGCGCAAGTGTACTCAACTATATATATATTTACAGGCTGGCGTGATAGGCTAGAAAAAAAAATATATATATATATATGGGTATTTGTATAGCGCTATAGTCCATCCAGGTTGCATGCTCAAAGCGCTCGTGGAAGTGTCACACTCCTGTGCTGATATACTGTACAAACAGTAAAAAGGTCTCAACAGGACTGGAAGAGATCACTCAGAGTAATATTTAGCAAAGAGGTGGGTTTTTAACTGGGACTTAAAAAAGAGACAATAGTTGGTGAATTATTTGTGGCAGGAGGTAAGTGTTCCAAAGTATTGGGGCTGATGCTATGAAAGCCTTTTCACCAAAGAGTTTCAGTTTAGTTCTTGGAATAGACAAGAGATGTTGGTGGTCTGACCGGACATAAACAACATAAAACAAGGATACAGTAAGCTGGATTCCATTTCTTGATATCAGCATTGTGTGAGGGAGGAATTAGTAAATGTAATAAAACCAATGGTAGAAAAAGATCTATGACCATGAGACCTGTATTTACCTGTGTGTCTGCTGAGTGCCAGCACTGAATGATGCTGTTGTTGATTTCAGGTGGTCAGTACACCAACCTGCAGTTCCAGGCTTTCAGTCTGGGGCTGGCTGACCAGTTTGAGGAGGTCAAGAAAATGTACTCTGTGGCCAACAAGCTCCTGGGAGATATCCCCAAGGTAGGTGGACTGCTGGAGTGGCAACATGGCTACATGCTGGGGTGGGGGAAAATGCCTTCGGTAGTCATCATTGGATTAGCAGGGCAACATGGCCAGCTGTAGGAGTCAGGGGAAAATGCCTTGAGGAGGTCATCATTGGGTTTAGAATGCAACATAGCCAGATGTGGGGGTCTGGGATAATGCTTTGAGGGGGTCAGTCATTGAATTAGCAGGGCAACATGGCCCGCTGTGTGAGTCTGGGTAAAAGGCTGGGGATGTCATCATTGGCTGAGCAGGGCAACATGGCTGGATGTGGGACCTGGGGAAAAGGTTAGGGGAGGTCATTATGGGGTTAGCATAGCGACATAGGTAGATATGGGGGTCTTGGAATAAAGCTTGGGGAGATCATCATCAGCTGAAACTTGTATGTGCGGCTTAGTAATGCAGGAATTCCTTCAACGGACATTATTGTTCAGTTTGTTTTTGTGAATATTGTCTTTGTTGTATAACTTTGCCCACACATGATAGGAAGGTATGGAGCTCTAAGGGATGCCATTTTGTTTCAGGTGACTCCGTCATCCAAGGTGGTGGGAGACATGGCCCAGTTCATGGTCCAGAACAAGCTGACTGGTGAGATGGTTGAGGACAGGGCAGAAGAGTTGTCTTTCCCTAGCTCTGTTGTGGAGTACTTCCAGGGTTACCTCGGCAAGCCGCCAGGAGGCTACCCAGAACCACTCAGGACCAAGGTGAAGATGTGTTCATATTGAAACAGACACGACTATATTAACCTGCTCTTCATCAGTTAGCCTTGCTTCTGGTCAATGTATTGATTTCATGCACATTTTGTTGTTTTGTGACTTCAGGAACTTTCTGGGCTGTGGTGTAGCCTAATCGTTAAAGCGTCCACTCGTCACGCTGAAGATCTGGGTTCGATTCCCCACATGGGTACAATGTTTGAAGCCCATTTAAGGTGTTCCCGTTGGAATATTGATAAAAGTGGCGTAAAACCATACTCACTCACTCACTCAGGAACTTTCAGCATTCATATTATACAGATTTGGTATTTGGGAAATACTTCCTTTTCTTATATTGTAGACCTACTGTTGATTTTGTTTTCTTGCTTAAAACAGATTCTGAAAGGTGCTAAGACATTTGATGGTCGCCCAGGAACGACTCTCCCTCCTTTAGACTTTGGCAAGCTGAAGGAGGAGCTAGTAGAGAAACACGGCCCCGTGGTGCGGGATGTGGATGTCATGAGCTCAGCGCTCTACCCAAAAGTCCTCGACGACTTCATGGAATTCCGTAGTAAATATGGCCCGGTGGACACTCTGGATACCAGACTGTTCCTAATGGGACCCAAAATCCCAGAGGAATGTGAGGTAAGATGTGTGTGAACCCATGAAGATCTGGGGTTAGAGTTGGTTGTAAGCAGTGTGATGTGAAAGGTGTACGAGGTTAGATGTGGGTTCTCTGAGGGGAAACGTAGGAGGTGAGACATAAACTTGGCCAAGTGAGATGTGTGTGAAGTGACATTTGTCTGAGTTGAAGTGAGATGCGTTTGAGATGTGTGTGAGTTGAAATGTGTGCGAAGTGAGATGTATTTGAGATGTGTGTGAGTTGAGATATATGTGAGTTGAGAGATGTTTGAGATGTGTGTGAGTTGAGATGTGTGTGAAGTGAGATGTATTTGAGATATGTGTGAAGAGAGTTGTATTTGAGATGTGTATGAGTTGAGATGTGTGAGTTGAAATGTGTGTGAGCTGAAATGTGTGTGAAGTGAGATTATTTGAGATGTATATGAGTTGAGAGGTGTTTGAGATGTGTGTGAGTTGAGAGGTGTTTGAGATGTTTGATGTGAGTTCAGATGTGTGAGTTGAGAGGTGTTTGAGATGTGTGTGAGTTCAGATGTGTGTCAGTTGAGGTGTTTGAGATGTGTGTGAGTTGAGAGGTGTTTGAGATGTGTGTGAGTTGAAAGGTGTTTGAGATGTGTGTGAGTTCAGATGTGTGTGAAGGTATTTTACTCAACATTGAACATTGTCAAAATATGTATAATAATTGGTTCATATATTTTGCTGACAAAAGGGCAGGTAGGAAGAAATAAACTGTGTGGCCTATATAGGTTGCTAGGTGGTGGAGTTTCTCAGTACTAACCCAGGACACTAGTGACAGATTGGTATGACGTGTCTCTGCTTGCAGGTGGAGATCGAAGCGTGGCAAGACCCTGTCCATCAAGACACTTGCAGTTGGGGATCTGAACAAGAACGGTGAGAGGGAAGTGTTCTTTGAGCTGAATGGTCAGCTACGGTCGGTTCTCATCAAGGATGAAGAAGCAATGAAGGTCAGTAGACAGATCTCCATCAGACATTAGGAATCAACCATACAGGCAGAACTTGAAGGCCATACAAACATATTTTAAAGGCTTAGAACTCATTTTGTTCAAAGGATGGTCCAAGTTGAATAATTTGTAGTCCTCAAAGTATTCTGCCAATGTTTTCATGTTTTGTCTGTTGCTCAGGCTTAACTTTTATAGCTTAACTTTTATAAGCGGACGTGATGCAGAATCTCCATTGTGTATACTACTTTTATGTTGGTAAGAACAAGATATAACCTGTAGTAATGATACTCCATGTATAGATTATGACTTAGTCACACACACTCACACTTACTCACATATGTAAGTTATGCTTTGTTTTCTGTAGGAAATGCACTTCCATCCCAAGGCCCTCAAGGGAGTGAAGGGCAGCGTGGGGGGCCCCAATGCCAGGGTCAGTCATAGACATAAAGGTGAAGGTTGGTGACAAGATCGAGAAAGGTCAGCCCGTGTTGGTGTTGAGTGCGATGAAGATGGAGATGGTTGTCAGTGCACCGATTGATGGTGAGGTCAAGAGTATCGCCGTCACTGATGGCATGAAGCTGGAAGGGGGACGACTTGTTGATGGACATTGAGTGATTGGTCAGACCAGGAAGACTGGCAGAAGAAACACTGACCAACAGAACTGACCTGACCATAGGTTCTTAATGTACGGATTATGAGGAATATTTTCACGATGATGGTGTTGGGAGACTGGACCAATTCAATTGGAAAATGTCATGAAAAGTGATGGGTGAAAGTTTGTTGGTCATCAAATGGCGTTGTTGTGACGAATATTTTAACACGGTGAATGATTAGAATCATGGCATACTCTAACCCGGAAAGGAACACAAGTTTAACAGATTTTCATTCTTTTAGTATGCTTAATCAGTTGATTGTGTATTGCTAGATATCTTATGACAGAGATAGTTAAATGTACAAGTGATCATGTTCTAACAGTGTGCATCGTAGACTACATTAGAGCTCTAATGGCAGTTGGGAGTGTTGTGGATTTAGTATGCAGGCAGTCAGAGTGTTTGTCACTGGTTATATCCAGCCTCTCTGGAAGTAGACCTGTTGCTGTACTGATCGATATTATGTGCAAAATCACAAGCCCAATGAGTGTATAATGACTTCTGGTTACAGCTACCGATGTTTATCGTGAATGATTCCACTGTGTTGAACCGACCTGATATTACCAGCAGTCTTTTACAGTCAGTAACAGAAGTTGTAGCAAATATTCATATTCATATGTCTATACAAAATAAATACAATTAGCCTTGTGTTGGAATGAAGTAGAAATGAACGTGATAAAATAATCAAATTTTGGTGAGTGTAATGCTATATACCTCTCAGTGGGTGCAGTTTTTACATCATGTTCCCAAAGCCAACTATTGCATGGTGTGTGTTCCTGTGTACATTCTATCTTATGTAGACTTAATAGTTCTTAAGGGTATGCAGTGGTGCAAGATATTTCTTGTAAGTTGTTTGGTTTTTGACAGATATGTTTTAAAGCTTGTTACACATTTGTTGTTACCAGGGACAGTTGTGGGCACTATGTGCACATCTTGGTAACAATTACTAGTCGTGTGGTTAAATACTGTGTGACATCAATGAACATAGGAATGCATATACCTTCATCCACAGTAACCTCATGTATTCAGAACATGGTCAGCTTGATGGTGATTGGTTGTTTGTTGAATGATTGACACATGGAGTGTTTGAGTGACAGATATGGACGTATGTGTATGATGTGTCTGACCAGAGTTGTTGAATGCTTGTGGTGCTTGCAGCAAGTGCAATGTATATTGATGATCTACAGAAATCCATGGTGTTCACCGAGATATTGTTCATATGATATCTTTGTGTCATACAGTTCATCCAAACATTCACAGCCTGTGAAGCACTGATGTAAATTTAAGCTATTATATTACAGTACTTTCAAGTAATAATTGCTACATAGTGTGAATTAATTTGTAAGATAGGTTCCTGGTTTGAGTGCAGGGTATAAAGTCTGGTATACTGTTATAACACCCACATCTGTGGGGCTGTGTGTTACAAAACCCATCAGCCTTGACAGATTGACCGCAGTGAGATGAACAAATCAAGTGTTCTTGATCTTATTTCGAGAAGTATGTAATATATTTCACTATAGATATTTACTTTATGTCACTGTGTACACAGATCAGAAATAAATTTAGGATTGTGTTTTGTTTAATTGTTATTTCATGTATACAATGTATTGAAATATTATTGAGTGGTGCATGAGATTCCAGTATATATTGAGCCACGCAGTCGTCACATAACAATAGAGAAGGGAGGATTTCCAAAGTTCATTAAGTTCCAACAGCTGGTTAATTAGTTGTCTAGTTCCTATTCAAGGATAATATATAAGTATATATCTAAAGACGTATATTTTGATTAAACATTCCAGTTTTTGAAATTATCTTTAATAATAATTTTTGTTTGGAAACATGGAAATGAGTATAAATATTTCCCTGTAATAACAACAGTGCCCTAATCAAGACTGAGTTAGACAATCCATCAATGCAAATTTTAAGTAGGATATTAGACACATACTGTACATACATCAGACATACTTTGATAACGCAACTAGATTTTAGTTAAGATATTTTGTGTTTTACTGCATACAGATGGTGTAGTGATGTGTATATATTAACAAGTAATATACTCAAGATCAGAAAGGTATTTTTATTAATTGTTATAAGCTTACATGTGATTATATATGTTTCACAAAATATGTTACAAAAATTATGGGACACAGAAAACTCTGTATCACTGGTTGAGAAACTGTTGAAGCTGAAATATACCAGAGTTATCTCCCTTCAATTGACTATCAGGTGCTGCTCTAGGTCAAATTCCCCTGTCCGCTGATTGCCCCTGAACGCTCTGAGGGCAAAGCATGGATTACATTGTATACATATTATTGCCATTTTGTGGTGCCAAATATCCCAAAGTATCAACTGATGGATGCTATGGATGCTGTTGCAGTGAAACTATATCCGTACCAGCATGACCAGTCGGTGAATATACACAGGGGTTGACACGAATGGCTTAATTATGTATCCAATCATGAATTACTTCTCTATTGATTTTAGTGAAGAAGTATTTACAAGTATTCACTATACCTGTTTCCTACTGAGGCTGGTATTATACCAGTTCATGACCAAGCATGAACCTGCATGCCACATTGGATTGCGTCATACTGTCAGAAGAAGGCTAAATTACCTGTAGAAATTAAACGCAAGTTAGCTGAGCTGACATGGAACGTTTCACACAAAACTGCTGCACAGTAAGCTGTATAGCCCTTTCAGTATCACAAACTGTGTTGATGTGTGTTGTAGGCAAATCCTGATTCCCCAGTGAATATCTGTGTTTGCTAAAACAGTAAACCTTTTAACCTCACTACTCCTGAAATCCATTTATCTCAGACAAGTTTAGATTCTAGATATGGTCTCGTCCATGGTTTGTTGGGGGGTGGGATACATTGGTAATATTGGTATATGGTAGTATATGAATACTCAGTCATGTGAATAACTTGTCAAAGAATTTGGCTCCAATTAATTTGCTGTGTCTATTTCAGGATTATTTAAGAACTGACTTCAACATGTTTTGCAATTATGGAGTTTTAGACATAACATCTACGATGTTTGCACAAATCTGCCATGTGTATACACTGTATATTGAAGAAGATAAACATGTTAGCAGTAACAACTCTACTGACTGTGTATATATTCATTAACACAAATATAAGTGTGGACAATCTAGAACATTGTTCAACAGAGTAATTCAATGCAAGCCCTGCCAATTCTGTTATGAGCCAGTCAGTAAGTAGCATTCCATAACATGGCTGAGGGTGATTTATGTTTGGTTTATGGAAACAATAGTACAAGACAACTGCTCTGGGGTACCCAATCAAATGGATTAGAATCAATTGTTATTGAATTATTTGTTTGTTGATTAAAGGTTCCCTTTTATCTGTCTCAACAACCTATGCCAAAATGATGACATACAATTGTTTGATCGGCATTCAGGGTTGGTGAGTCAGTGATAAAGCGTGGACGAGTTTATAGATAACAACTTCTTGTTTATTGTTATTCAATTACATGCTACTGTTAATGTCACATCTTACTATATTTATACACTTCTCTACACTTGGTTGTAGTTACTTTAGCTTGAAACGGTGTAGGAATCTACAAAAAACGTCGCTCTGTGCAATAAACAACAAGTTGTTTTCCATAGTCGTATGCTTTATTAATGATGACATACAGTTATATGAAATCCTAGACATTATATTCAGGGAAATATTCATAGAATATTTTTTATTGATAGAAACTCATGAATTTTCCCATCCTCAGAAGGAAAAGGATTGACATTTATAAAAGTTTGAATAATATGGTTTCTTTATGAGAGACTTGTTTAAGTAAGTTTCTATGTTCCTTTGCTGTAAATGTATGGCTGATGACGGCAGGTAACACTGAACAAGACCTTAATATAGTTGTGCCGCATTTTGATATGGTGCTAAACTTGAGTGAATGAATGTTATTAAGAATGTCTGAAACTGCAGTATATCTTTTAACACTAATAAGCTCAGCCAACACACCGCCACTATATAACAGATATTAAAGTATCAGGCCAAACAGATTGATGTTTGTTTAATGTAAAAACCTGCCATAAATTTAGCAAACAGTTGACTTTATGATTGAACATACACATATTTTGAATAATATTTTGCTTAGATTCTTTTTAGAATATGGGTTTTTTGGCTGTGGGTCAATAAAACAGAAAAATCAATAGGTCTGGCCTGAGCTTAACTACTCTTTTTATAAGCCTCCTGTTTCTCCCGTTTGTACTCATGCATCTGTTGATGGCGCACAATATATAACTGGTATACATTTAAATTGTCCGAGAATTCCCCATGAGGGAGACGATATTGATTGCAGTGGTGAGATGGTTTATGTTCTTTCCTGCTTAAATAATGTATGTAAAAATATAGCACAAGAAGAACAATTTGAACTGTTGCCACACAGGATGGTATTGTGGCATAGCATACTGAAAAAGCTTGTTTACTCCTGTAGATGAAGCTTTAATTTAATCAATTTGCTTGTTAAGAGCAGACACAAGTTTGCCTGTTCAAATAGTGACAATGTATCTAGCCACTTCTTGGCATCTTAAGCCAATATTGTTGGGCCATGTTGCACAAAGTGATCTCTGTGCTGAGACGATCATAACGCCCATACGTTATAGCTTTGGCTCGTAATACCTCAGCACCAACATCATTTTGTGGAACAGGTCTTCGAGTACTATTATTCAAGTGCAGCTTGGAACTCACTTGCCTTCAAGTGGGCATTGTTGACCAGCGAGAAGGCAACCCTTATGCAGAGTTGTGTCCCTTTAGTGTGCCCAAATCATGTGATTGTGAGTTTGTATAAGATTATAATGTTCTTGGTTGTAAGCAACTTCAACATGAGGACACCACTTTATGGTGCAGAGTTGTTTGCAAATATTGAAATATTCCATTACAAGTGTATTTGTCTCTAGAGAGTAACAGTTAATATTACTGACATTACACTTTAAGTGAGATTTGTCTACATTGTCATCTCATCTCTAGTTACCTGGATCAGTATGAAATCATATCAAGGCATTATATGTTACACTGCTTAATCTCAATAAAGTATGTAGAAAGATGTCCTGTCTGTTCTTTGGTCTGATATTAGCCATTTCTAAAGGGGCCCAGTTCCACAGAGTGATCTCAGTACTACGATGATCATCATAACAGGCATACTATAACACTGGCTTTTGAAATGGAAATATGATTGTAAATCCAAAAATATAACATAGGCTTTTTGGAAGCTGTAAGATTTCTTTGTGGAATGGGGCCATGTTTTCCAGCAAGGATACTACTTACTTACCACTGTTTTGCATGTTGGCTTCATGCATAATACAGCAGCAATCCAGGTAAAATTTACACAATGACTTGTAAATACTCAAGTCTGGACAAGGCCACCCAGTGATATTATCAACGCTGCCAAGCCATCAGGGCCTTATGAGACATGATCACACTATCTTACACATGGTGCAATTCCTTTTTTTTTTCAGTACCTGCATCAAGTGCAACTTGGTTCATAGGTTTGGCTACACCATCAAAATTTGGGTTGCATCATAAAATGATGAATGATTCTGTTTCAGTTTTGCACTACCTTATTTATAAATCTCAATTATATGATAACCGCTACATTACTGATTTATGAGTACACAAATGTTTGTGCTTGTCATGCAGAGAGACATTACTTTTCTAAATATTAAAGGATACTACTTTCAAGCAAGACCTGATGGAAGTTTTATATTTGAATTGCAAGACCGAGGTTGTACAGTTGAATTTTATCAACAGCCTTTAAATATGAATCAAGGGATTTTTCAATTTCATAAAGCCAATGTATACTATCCCAAAAAAGAAACGCTTATAAGCGTTTTGTATTTTTTAAAATCTATTAATTACCTATTGTGTTCAAACAATCGTCAAAATATGTAACAAAAGTGTTGATAACATGATTTTACACAATTGCACGAGTTAAAAATCGACTTTACCTGAAAATGTTGATTTTCATGAGATTTCTTACAAGGATTAAAAACGCATCACCACAATGCAACAGAAATCACCTTCCAGTTGAAATTGTGCAGCAAAGAGCATGCACTGTCTGGCTATAAAATCCAGATTACTTTCGGAAATCGGCATTTGTTTTGAAGGAGTTTCAAGGTCAAATCACTACGCCACGTCTTGACGCTGCGACACCGAACATCGCCATTGGAAGAATGCACGCTGGAGATTACCAATCTTCTGCTGCCAGGCGTCTGAATGTTAGTCTGAGCACGATATCACGATATGCAGCTCGTTACAACCAATCAGGTAAAACAAATGACTGTCCCCATACAGGCAGACCTTAAGTCACCGGTGCAGCCCAAGATCGGTACATCTGGGTACTACATTTGCGTGATTGTACTGCCACGGGTGAGAGCACAGCAGCCAGGGTGCCTGGATTTCGGAGGATATCCGGTCAAACTGTATGGAACAGGTTGAGAGAGATTGGATTGGGAGCCAGGAGACCCGACGTCGGGACCGTGCTAAGTCGTCACCAACGCGCTCAACGTCTCCGTTATCCAAAATTATCCACTTGGCTGTATAGACATTTCCTTCTTCTAAACTGATGTAAAAATTCATGCACTGAAGTCTATTTGTGGATGAGTTATACATGTTTGAAAATACAACATTTTTGCAACAGATTTCTGGCCTATGCGTTTCTTTTTGGGGATAGTATATATAACGTCAATCAAACTTGCAACGTTATATATTTTTCGTAGCAATGTAACAAACTGGTTTCATACCGACACACTGGAGAAATGGATGTAAGAGCTTTAATTACGTATGCTATGGATTTCAGTTGTCTGCATCCTGCACATGCCCATTCCCTGTCACTGAACGTTTTATCCTGTCATTATTTTGTTGTGTAAATGTAAGGTGTGCCAATGTTTTGTTTTATCCTGTCATTATTTTGTTGTGTAAATGTAAGGTGTGCCAATGTTTTGTTTTATCCTGTCATTACTTTGTTGTGTAAATGTAAGGTGTGCCAATGTTTTGTTTTATCCTGTCATTACTTTGTTGTGTAAATGTAAGGTGTGCCAATGTTTTGTTTTATCCTGTCATTACTTTGTTGTGTAAATGTAAGGTGTGCCAATGTTTTGTTTTATCCTGTCATTACTTTGTTGTGTAAATGTAAGGTGTGCCAATGTTTTGTTTTATCCTGTCATTACTTTGTTGTAAAATGTAAGGTGTGCCAATGTTTTGTTTTATCCTGTCATTACTTTGTTGTGTAAATGTAAGGTGTGTAAATGTAAGGTGTGCCAATGTTTTGTTTTATCCTGTCATTACTTTGTTGTGTAAATGTAAGGTGTGCCAATGTTTTGTTTTATCCTGTCATTACTTTGTTGTGTAAATGTAAGGTGTGCCAATGTTTTGTTTTATCCTGTCATTACTTTGTTGTGTAAATGTAAGGTGTGCCAATGTTTTGTTTTATCCTGTCATTATTTTGTTGTGTAAATGTAAGGTGTGCCAATGTTTTGTTTTATCCTGTCATTATTTTTTGTTGTGTAAATGTAAGGTGTGCCAATGTTTTTATCCTGTCATTATTTTGTTGTGTAAATGTAAGGTGTGCCAATGTTTTGTTTTATCCTGTCATTACTTTGTTGTGTAAATGTAAGGTGTGCCATTGTTTTGTTTTATCCTGTCATTATTTTGTTGTGTAAATGTAAGGTGTGCCAATGTTTTGTTTTATCCTGTCATTACTTTGTTGTGTAAATGTAAGGTGTGCCATTGTTTTGTTTTATCCTGTCATTATTTTGTTGTGTAAATGTAAGGTGTGCCAATGTTTTGTTTTATCCTGTCATTACTTTGTTGTGTAAATGTAAGGTGTGCCAATGTTTTGTTTTATCCTGTCATTATTTTGTTGTGTAAATGTAAGGTGTGCCAATGTTTTGTTTTATCCTGTCATTACTTTGTTGTGTAAATGTAAGGTGTGCCATTGTTTTGTTTTATCCTGTCATTATTTTGTTGTGTAAATGTAAGGTGTGCCAATGTTTTGTTTTATCCTGTCATTACTTTGTTGTGTAAATGTAAGGTGTGCCATTGTTTTGTTTTATCCTGTCATTATTTTGTTGTGTAAATGTAAGGTGTGCCAATGTTTTGTTTTATCCTGTCATTATTTTGTTGTGTAAATGTAAGGTGTGCCAATGTTTTGTTTTATCCTGTCATTACTTTGTGTAAATGTAAGGTGTGCCAATGTTTTGTTTTATCCTGTCATTACTTTGTTGTGTAAATGTAAGGTGTGCCATTGTTTTGTTTTATCCTGTCATTATTTTGTTGTGTAAATGTAAGGTGTGCCAATGTTTTGTTTTATCCTGTCATTACTATGTCGTGTAAATGTAAGGTGTGCCATTGTTGTTTTATCCTTTCTGCATGTTATGCATACATTTGGCTATAACTTAGTTACAGTTCTATACCTTAGAGCTGTGTCTTAACAATAACTTGACATTTGGTTAAGTCACCTTGCACTGTACTAGGAAGCATGCATAGTCATGTAAGGCATTTTTCACAATGAACTCTGCAGATGACTTGCATGACACTAACAGAAAACATCACAACAGCAATATATAGATATTTTATTAACAATTAGTCAAAAATAGACATTCAGTGTAATATATGAATAAAAGTTACCGGTATGTCACAGTCAGTGCATTGGATAGAGCATGGGTTGGATTCATGATTCCAATGTTCTGTGAAACAAAGGAATCATGAATGTTAGAAGACAGGAGAGATATGGCTTTCACTTGTGATATGGCAAGAAGAGAAACATCAACTAGTTGGCAGGCTTGGAGGAATTGTGCGTGCATTTGTGAACCTTACTTTCCGAAAAACAACCTTTTTCTCATAGACCAGTCTTTTCAATAATAATTTCAATGCCATTTTACAACAGTCACGAATGTTATCATTGAACTGACATGGGTCATACTAGTTTTTCCCTTTCTCTCAATTTCAAGATGTAGATTAATATTTCCTTTAAGGAAAAATCGAACCAAAACTGTCAAAATAGATTGATTGTGGAGATAAACAGAGATACTGTTACTTCTTTTTACCTACATCTGGCAAGCAGTTGGGCTTGAAATCCACAAAACATGACTGAAACGTGACTCTACTTGCCACAATAAATATTTCTTGCTTTTCTTCAGCATTTGGTTTGCAAATAGAACTTACGCATGTGTTGAAAAGAAGTGAAACATCTCTCTATTCTAAATTAATATATCTAATCACATTAGGTAAACTTGTTCACATTTAGCGGAGGAAGCAGGCCAAGAAGGGTTACTTGACACAGTGAGCTTTAGAATAGCTGATGCAGTCAGCTGTGTGGGTGCCAGAAAGCAAAGCCACTAACATCACTGACTAAGTGACCAAACCACCAACCAACTTCTCAACAACAGACACAAGTATTGACATTGTATTATGGCAGGTAGGCTAACATAGAGTTTCTGAAATAACACAATTTCAGAGAAATGCAATCCTTAAAGTATCTTATAAAGAGTAATACAACAGAGAGTTTCTTCATTTTCAGACTGGACAAATTATTGCTTGGAATTTCACAAGTAAAGATTCTTATCGCCCATCAGAGAAATGACATTGAGAGAGAGCGTGGTGGGAAAATTTACTGCTCCTATCACCTTTCCCTTGATACACACCCTGCCAGTATCAGTTCATCAATGTTACTATTCAGTTTTACATACAACTAAAAAGATTTTAGAGTATTTTGTGTGTCACATGTGTTCAGTGTACTCACACATGTCATCGGAGTGTAAGGGCAGGGAACAGAGGAGGGGCAGGTTGTCTGGCCTTGGGAGTGGTAGGAGAGGATCACCAAATGCTACTACTGAACACATTTACTGGATGCTGAAACTGAAGTGATATAAACTATAATTGATATGCAGAGAAGAGCTGGTGAGACGAGTGAGTTTGCACCAAGCCCCTTAGACCACTATATATTAAGCCAGCATGATTTAGCCCAGTGATGCAAGTGTTACACCTTTCTGCTTTGGTGAGATCCCCGAGAATAGGCATGATGCTGACAAACCTCACTCATAATCATGGAGAATCTGGGATTTGAACCTTTGTTCACTGTGTAGTGAAGTGCAGTGACCCCTGCCCAGATGCAATCTGTGTCACTCATTACTGATGCCAGCTATAATGAAACATGCTTTTGGTCAGCCATTACTGAGATTGGGATGCCATGAATAAGGAGACCCCAGCAGGTAAACCTGCCATGATATGATGTGATATGTCCTCAGAGATTACATAGTAACTGAAAAGGCCACACATATAGGTTGTCTGGAAAAAATATTGATACCAAACGATGTCATCCTAACCCATTTAAAAAATGTCCCTTATAAGCGCATATCTCACAGCTGAATGCTAAACATCACAAGCATGCTGCAGAATAGCACCATAACATGCATTACTAGCTGAAGGCAAGTGGTTTTTTCAACACACACACACACAAAGTACATAGCACGTCTATTATTTTCTTATAGTCACATCTATACATCAACATCAACCAGGAGCCCCATAATGAAGACACTAGCATCGTCAACAGTTGGTGTAAAGATGCTGGTATTGCAAAGATCTAACATATGACAAATATCAACTATCATGGACTTCTTCAGTGCAAAACATCTCAAGCTATATAACAGACAATGTCATTATCATGATCAGAATCCTAAACCACAAAGCGATCCACGATCAACGACTGTCATAAGTTGCGATAAGATATGGTCTTTATAACCATCGTTGAGCTAAGATTGCTTTGTGGAACAGGGTGCAGTTCCACTAACCGATCTTAGCCCTACGCCAATCGTAAACCCCCAAAAATCCCAATGTTAGCGTGACGTTACGATCGGCATACCGTTCCACTAACCGATCTTAGCCCTACGCCAATCATAAACCCCTAAAATCCCAATCTTAGCATGACGTTACAATCCACTAACAGATCTTACCAAGTCAATAGAAAGTTAAGATCCAAAGTCAAAGTTGCTCATGAACAAAGAGAAACCAAAATGGCGGCTTTCATTCTTCTACGTGAAGAAGAAGAGAGGTTAGTGGAACGGCACCCAGGACCCTGATGCTCTTCTACATCATTGACCAAATGTAGGATTTCACATTTTATGGGATGACAGTATTAAACTCATGGCCTCATTCAAATACTTAACTGATCTGTTCCATTGAATCTCACACTAACTGTAATATTTTAGTGAGTAATTTGTGCGCAAGTCCACGTTTGAACAGTTGGTCATTGTGTGAAAGCTTCAGTTTTGGGGAAAAGCCAGAAGTAACATTGGTCTCAGCAGTTTATCACTTTGACAAAACCTACAAACACGAGCACGGAACAGGCAAGCTAAGGATCATAATCAGTGTGAGTCTGCTGGGATTCGAACCCATGATCACAGCATGATGGCAACCACAGGGGCGAACCAGAAATTTGTTTATTTATAAATGAATCTTGGTTTGGTGGTATTGATAAAAGTAAAAAAAATAAAACATGAAGGAAGAGAACTTATGGATAAATTCTCTTCCTTAGGGGTATCAATTTATGAAGCCATTCAAAGACAAAACATGAAGTAAAAAAATACAGAATGTAGTAGAAAGGTATCCCATAAACATCAAACATTCTACTCTAAGTCTCTAAGTGCAATGATTAAAAATAGTAAATCTTTAAAAGGAGACAATGTTGACTGGCCTACATGCTTAAGCATGTCCTAAACTTACGGGAAGATAAGAAAAAGTATTTTTATGTTCTATGAAACCAAAACATCCATATGATATGAGATAGGAAAAGAAATAACCCTAGAACCAAATTGCAGTCATGACAAAAAGGTTTTTGTATGGGAAGGTTGATTTTCATATTTTGATAAAGTGTACTATCCATGGATGAGAATTAACAGTACCCTTTTTTCCTGTAATAAACTGCTTACATGTCGGGAGCTGACTGAGGATAAACATACATGCTTTATGCCTTGAAGATCAAATTATCATAATCACAACAGTTCTGTAAAGAAATTTGATTAAAAAGCATCTAAAATGGAATGTTGTGAAATGTAGGATTCAATTGCTGGTTCTTCCATTACTGACCAATGTGTTTTGTTGCAAATGCCCAGATAGTTAGACATTTAATGACAAAATGTGCTGAAAATATATTTCTTAGTCAGTGCATAAGTCTTCTGTAAGTGGAATTATCAACCCATTTTCATTTAAGTGTCTTACAAGGATGAACTGTAAAATCCTTCATGTTACCCGTTATTCCTTGACAATAATTAACTTAAACACCTGACTGCCAACATTCTGCTTAAGTTTGGTCATTACAAATGTCTGCTTAGATATAACAAGTTAGTCGTATTAGTATCTTATTATCAGTTCATAACTGGTTCATGAAAGCACAGAGTCACTGATTTAATCAACAATATAATATTTTTAAGTCCAATATGGCTGTTGTCATGGTAATTGTCATCTTCTCGTTTGCATCCGTTTCTGCATCAGTTCTGTCAGTTAATGAAGAAACCGGATGCTCATCTTCTGTTCGACATCAACACGGTCCATAGCCTGCAAGTCAAGGAAGATGTTTGAGCATTCTCAAAACTTTATATCTATCCCTTACATAACTGGTTTAACATGAAACATAAACATAACACTGATTTCATGAACATGTTTTCACATTTGGACACATTTGATAAAAATTGTTTTTGACTGTAAATAGATGTGGTCACATGATCATTTAACCCAGCAATTACTGGTAAGCATTTCCCTTAAGATAAACAACATCCCATGCCACCTGGCTACGATGACCATCAATCAATCAAGTCCGTCAACTTGACCCACAGTGTGCCTCTTGTGACAAGCAAGAGAGAGTTGGAGACCCATGAAGGTGTCACATCACAGAACAAACTCAATATAGAAGACAAACAATGATCCACACAAATGCATAGTAACCATCTGACCCTCATTTCAGTATAACTAGCATGAGATCTCAAAAGGGTATCACTGGATGGGACTGGGCCCTGATCTACACAGTGTAACAGTACCGTGACACACACTTGACCATATGCCAAAACATGTTCGTGCAGATGTATCCCCAGTAGGCATGATAGCAATGTTCCAGTCTGTTGCTATATCATTAGAATCTAAGGACTGCTTCACTTTTTAACAACAGAATGTTGACAAGGACCATCTGACTTTCATGTTAAATTGGGAACATTGCACCAGGCAAACATACTGATCCTCTGTATTTATCAGTAGAAAACAGTGTAACGCGGCCTTCACTTAACGGCAAACTAAGTTTGACAACACCACTCAAACTCACATCTGACAATATCATGTTCTGATGCGAAGATTATGCAGTCAGATAATTGGTGAACAGCTCCTTCCTCACTTACTGATGTGATCTGACTGTTCGTGAGTGAGTTGAGGTTTATGCCAATTTCAGCAATATTCCAGCAATATCATGACAGGGAAGACCAGTATGGGCTTCACACATTGTACCCATTAGGGAATTGAACTCGGGCCTTCAGTGTGACAAGCAAAAGCTTGAACCACTGGGCTACCCCAATACCCTCTGACAACAACCTTGAAGAACCTTACCTTTACAAACTCCTGGAAAGATATCATGGTGTCTTTGTCCTCATCCACCTCCACGATTGTTCGGTCGGCAATGCTGCCTAACTAAAAGGCAGAAATAGAATGTCCAACTTTCAAAACTGATCTTTATTAAAAATCCAATAGCTTATCAGCAAATAGTCCCTCTAATCACAAAGTGAACAGAGGTAAAATAGGATTCCTAACCCCAATGTAGGTGTGACATGACAACTAACAGTAAGATTTATAATACGAGAAATGCTGTACGACAACAGAGATAGAGAGTATCGTCTGAGAGATCCATTCTGTGTGTAACCTCACCTGTTCTTCTGAAATGTTGGCCCCCACCATCATGTGTAGAACAGACAGAAGCTCCTCCTTGGAAATCCGGTCATCTCCATCAAGGTCATACATCTTGAAAGCAACTGAAGACAAAAACAAAAGTATAGACATAAAGTAACCAAAACCATGGAATGTCATTACAGTGCTTACTGGGGTAGGTAACACACCCCAGAGCTCCAGATAAGATTTAGCTAATGTGGGTACTGTACCCACTGTATTTTTTTGGAGTGGGTATTATGAATGTTGAGTGAGTATTTCATTTTCCGTTACCCACTACTTTCATTGAGTAAGTTTACTAAGCAGGTATGTTTTGCCTTATGTGATACCTACTCAAACCCGACTTAAATATAAGGGAAATGATTTCATAAAAAATCAGTCATCCTATACTGACAGTACAACACTTGTCCTATACTAACAGTACAAATTGATAGCAATCGATGTCTTTTTCATTACGCAAGCGATTTTTATAAGTATATTCCGTACGCATTTGTTTTAAACTCTTTGCGTATCTAACAGTTTAAATGCGTAATTGGTACGCAACAATTATTTTTCAATGCGTAATTCGAAATTTTCTATGCGTATTTTACCCCCATACGCAGCTTATCCGGGCCTCTGACACCCCATAGAGCTGACGACCGTATTTCTCGAGGATTGCATCACATGTGTCCTGCATCAGTGAAGTTATGCAACAATATTACTTCTATCCTTCTGTCAGTCAACACGTATTTGAAATAGGGAATTTGGATAGAGAATATCATTTCCTTGATATTATCACACTGTAATTTATCATGAAATATTATTTACACATGAATATTCCACATAAAAAACCCTTGAAGTTTGGGTTTCAATCTCACAAAGGATAGCAAATTCTGAACTTCATTACTGAAAGTGTTTTCTGTCTTCCAGTAAATGTCCTCTATTTCTTTTTTGCACTAATACTTAAGTGTTGAATGTTTAGAAAGCAACATTGGCTGGATAGAGGGTTGTTTGAAAGAGCACAAAATTCTGTTTAAAATACAGTGTAAATATTGAAGGGTTGATGGTGTATGGATGGCTTGGTGGAGGGATGGGCAGGTGGAGCAATGGCTGGGTGGGTTTAGAGATTATTTGGTGTTTGGATGGGTGTGTGAGTGTAAGGATGTATGGATGGATGGCTGGATGAGTGTATGGATGTGTTATTTTATAGGAAGATTGGTGTATGTGGGGTTGGGATGGATGGGATTTGTATTGATGGGTGGTGTACAGATGGATGAATGAGTGCATGGTGGCATGGATGAGTGTATTGATGAGGGTATGAGTGCATTGAGGGGTGTATGAATGAGTGGGCTAACAGATAGATGGGAGTATGGATGAATGGGTTTTCTGTGAATTGGCTGGTCTATGGTTGTGGCTGTAACTTGAAGACTGGTGTATGTATGGATGGATGGAGGTAAGTATGAATGGATGTTTTTCCTGTGGATGGTTGTGGGTGTTTGAAATTTAGATGGGATGGAGGACTTACACATCAACTTTTCCTCCCTTGTGTTCAGGATGTTTCTCTCAGATTTTGCCTTCAGTGGGCGGAACCTGGCCAGGACATTCATGAACTGCCGGAAGTTGACCTCAGTCCTGTAACCATACAGGAACTTGACATCAAGTAGCAAAGACAAATGAGATAGCAGTGAGAGCAGAGCCATTATGACTGAATCTCACTCTCACTAATTTCTGTTAAAACAATACGTTTACATCCAGTGGTTGTTTATGTATGCACCAACAACTACTGGGTGAAGTAAGGATAACAATATACGGATGAACAACATCTTAAATGCAGTGGGAGATGCATTTCGGTGTAGGTTCTAAAACTGTTATCAAACAAGTGATGCTATACCTTTTATACATGTAGAATATTCCCCCACTCATGAGCCTGAAATACTTCTTATCTTAATGCAAGTATCAAATGGATCTATATTCAAATTCACAATCACGTACAAGTGAGCCTTCAGACAGAAGACTGAGAGGTCCTGAAGGAAATATTTTCACTAATGTATTTAAGAAGGAATCAAACAAGACAAATTGAGTGCAGGTGACATCATCAGTTGTATCAATCATGAAAGTATTTGGTCTAGATGACTATTTAAAGCATTATGTCAATCAAACTGCACTTCAACAACCTATGACAGCAAATAAACCCTGGGTAGATGTCATTATACACTGAGTAAACAGGATGTTGAGTGAGCAAGGCTTATGCCACTGGGGCACAAAGACACACAAATGGCCAACTGCAAATAAGATATGAGTTTCCCTTATAGAAAGTTGTAGCCAGCCATCAAGTCCATGACATGGCTAATAACTATTGAATAAATAATATTTGAATAAAGTAAATGATCAGTTTCACATCATGAAGATGTGTTACTCCTGTTAAGGATTACAGTAATAAATAGTAGAACTATCACTGAGTACATCAGAGCAATACTGGTAATAATCACTATCCCACAACTACGGGCAAACAAGTTAAGTTGAGCACCGACCTGACAATTGACCCGTATTAGCATGTATGAGTGCCGCCCACTGGTGCTTGCCATTGTTAGCGAAGGGGCCCCAGGTTGTCTGCGATCAAGTGTAGTGCGATGGGTGAAGCGCGTGGCCTGTCTCAGCAAACACAGAGTTCGACAGTGGCAGGAATCAATTGCATCGTCATGCAGTGCACGTGCACTAGCCTACATCTGCTCTACCTTTCACAAACCAAATGGGTTTGCTCATTGCCGTGCACCGCCTATTTCTCGTAAACATGTTCTCTGCGCCGGTCCAACTTATCCTTGTTTGCCAGTACAAAAAGAAATGTTCAATAAGTGTCATGCATAGCATACCTGTCTTGGAAGAAAGAATGCACAATTCTGTCTCCCAAAGGGTTTATGGCCAATTCTGGTATCCTCAAGAAATCCTCCCGGCTGCAAAAGTATGTTTAAAATCATGAACAGATGAAAATTGTATTTCATCCACAGTATTATACAAAGTACCAGGATAAAGATTATTGCTCCATATGTGATGGACAGATAGGACTGACAGTACATCAGGCATAAACAATATGGGCCTAAGGGCTTGGGACATAACAAGTCACTATACAAGGTTTGGTAAAACATTGATCGCTCAACAGGCAGTTAAGCAAGACATGTTGGTGAGAACATTGTTATGTGGCAATGATATTTCTTCAGTGGCTGACCTTCAGTGATGGGTGGTAGGCCAGCATGGTTTATGAATCAGTAGACCAGCATGGTTTATGAATCAGTAGGCCAGCATGGTTTATGTGAATGAGTAGGCCAGCATGGTTTATATGAATGAATGAGTGAGTGTGAGTGAGTGAGTTTAATTTTATGCCGCATTCAGCAATATTCCAGCTATATGGTGGCGGATAATCGACTCTGGACCAGACTATCCAGCGATCAACAGCATGAGCATTGATCTGCGCAATTCGGAACCGATGACATGTGTTACCCAAGTCAGCGAGCCTGACCACCCGATCCCGTTAGTCACCTCTTAAGACAAGCATGGGTTACTAAAGATCAATTTTCTAACCCGGACAGTCACAAGTCGTTTATGTGAATGAATAGGTCAGCATGGTTTATTTGAAGGGTATGCCAGAATGGTGTTTCTGAAAGAGTAAGCAATCTTGGTTTATTTGAAGTAGTAGGCCAACTTGGTGTATTTGAATGTGGCACTACACACAACACCCTATACACCATTATATATCGGAGGTTTAACTGTGTCACAGCCTGATATGTTGGATGATTCTATTCATGTATTTGTATGTGTCATTATGTAACGAATGTTATGATGGAGGACTTTATTTTTTCATGAAAAAACCCCCCCCAAAAACCCCCCTAACCGGGAAAAACAAACAAACAAAAAAACAAAAAACTTGGTGTATTTGATGACTGACTGACTGACTGAGTTTGGTTTTACGCCGCTTTTAGCAATATTCCAGCAATATCACGGAGGGGGACACCAGAAATGGGCTTAACACATTGTGCCCATGTGGGGAATCGAACCCGGGTCTTCGGCGTGACGAGCCAACGCTTTAACCACTAGGCTACCCCACCGCCCCTGTATTTGATGAAGTAGCCAAGAATGGGGGAACATTGAGTAGTGGGGCAGTGTGCTATATTTGAAGGTATGTGCCAGCATGGTTTACCCAGAGAAGAAGGCCAGCATTATCTGAATACAGTTACATATGTTTTGTAAATAGCACATTTTATTACACTGCCTCTGTTAGTGAATGAGGCAGTCTGTCAAAGAAACATGAATATAACCATGAAGACTTGAGTTTATCATCTCTAACATTCACTAAACAATCAATTAAAAATATATTACTATCAGGCTTCCTGGGTTTAAAAATGTGAGTCAAATGAGGATTTTCATTGACTGAAGGCTCCTTTGTCATTTTGGTAACTTACCTAAGTACCCCATTGTTGGACTTATCAAGGTTGGTAAACCTGCCATATAGTCTCACAATCTGGTTGTGGGAAACTGAAACAAATCAGTTCATACGTATAATCTAGGACTGATTAAACAGGAGATCAATAAATAGTAATCAGGTGATTACTTATTAGTATCAATCAGTCAGCTTAACAACATTTACATACACATTAACATGCAAAGGATGAATATCAAATTATACCTTATACTGAAAATGCTGAACATTCTCATATGATATAAACTGAACATGATGAAAGATTTAATAACATATTATCCAACACAGTATGTGCAGTGGTGAGGTGGCATTGTGATGGAAACGCTTGCATAACAACAGTGTTTATTCTAAGCCGCACCCTTGCGCCATTCCAACATCAATAATTCACATGGCACACTGTACAGGTATGGTCGTGTTGTGTCAGTGCATCTGAAACGCATCACTAGTTTGTTTTCGCTTAGCAACTCAAGCAAAACTTAAGTACGTCTTTGGTTTCTCTTGCTGACCTTACCCCGATTGAAAGTTTTAAAAGGAAGTGAACTCATACTAGTAATTAGTAGTGTATGGCTAAAAAGTCACAGCGATTTGACAGGTTCACTCTCACTTAGCTGGAGTTTACTCAAATAGGTCTTGTTAAACCATTGCACTATGGCTAGGTGAGAGATGTGAGCCAGGTAAATAGCATTTAGCCACTGAAGCGTGAGCCTTTGTTCAAGGGCTATAGTCTGTATCTGCAATGCGACATGATTTAAGATGCATGCAAGTGGGGGTGTGGTGGGGGTGTGTGTGTTGTATTATTAAAGCAAAAGAAACAACATTTCAGATAAAATAATCTTTATTAACATGTTCACCCAACATTTTTCATAACTTTCTTAATCATGTTAATGCAATACATCTTTTGCATCAAGCATGTATTTATTTACATTTTGTGAAAGTCATTTCATGTAACATTGAGTCTCGTCTAACAAAGGAATGAACAGCAGGGTTGTCCTTGTAGTGAATGGCCAGGCCACATGTCTCTTGGGCATGCCACCATACACACTGTGTGTTGTGGAATAAACACCCCTTTACTTCAGATGTTGGAAACACTGATGTCACTGCATTCCATACTGCTGTCTTGAAGTCGATGAACACTTTGTCGGTGACAAAGGAACAGGGAACAGGTACTGAATGAGGAGAACAGATGATCATAGGTCATCTGCTTCTTGTCGGGTAGAAAGGCGTATGCCAGAGGGAACATCTCTCGGTCGACCTGGCCATGTACTGTGTAGATTTGCTTGAAGAGCTTGGGGCAGGACTTGAACGTTCCATCACAGAAGCAGGTGTTGACGTTGCTCAGGTGTCAAAGGTTGGCATCTGTGGAAAACAGGAGCATGTTGTCCTTGCTGACCATGGACCTTGGAGATTTATTTCCTCATGGGTATTAGGCAGGGCTGGTATAATCTTGGATTGGTAACTTCTTCTCTTCTTCAGAGAGTTCACTTCAACTGACATTCTGTCACTTCGATGGTTATGTGGCTGGCCAAGTTTTGTCAAGTCGTTGTTCTTTGTGTTGAGAGTGGCAGGGCATCCCAAACCGTGGTGTCGACAACCCCAGTAGACAGTTTCATTCCTCCATCTAGCTTTCACACTGAACTGGTAGTTGTTGTGAACAAGATACTGACAGCCTCTGTTGTTGTATATGTGTTTTATTTGTATTCTCTTATTTTATTGTATTACTGTGATAATGCTCGTGACTTTAGTGTCTCAGAGGCCAAATGGCCAGGTGCTTTTGGAGTTTAAGGTATGTCTGTAGTGTAATGTACTGTATTTTATTGCGAAAGCATGTGACTCTCCCTCTCAAGAACATTACATCATGTGGGAAGTCACCAAAGTGCTATTTACCAACAACTGGTGACAATGAAAACTGCAAGAAGCTGCTGGCATCAGGAGACACCAACCAGCCATGAACCACGACTAGGGAACCCCCTGCCTAGAGCTTGGGACTTATTGCTTTCATTATTGTTGTTTGAACTTACTGCGTTATCAATGTAGGTGCTATTATTTTGTTCTGGCTTCTATTTGTTTGTTCTGGCCGCAATTTGTCAATCTCAATTGCGTTTATCTATTAGCACTATTACCCGCTACCCCTCATCTGTTCATCACCTATCAACACTATTTAACTGTTATGTGTTGGCTTCTATTCATTGCTAATTAACTAATTAAGTGTTAAGTATTTGTCCTTTGCCAATCACTCATCAACTGTTGGCTTCCATTGTTTAGCCCACACGGGCGTGTCACACTTAGAAACAGCGATAGAGAGACATATAGGTATATAGACCCAACCCTAGTACTATATAAAAGGAAAGGGATGTAACGACGGAACCACCCCCTCCCCAAAGTTAGATTTCACCACGTAAACTATTTTTAAGGCCCCATCGAGGCATACGGAACGAAAGCAAGATGATTTCCCTACAAAATGAGCTATAAATGGTCACAATCTGATCATTATTTCAAAAGTTATACGCCACGACTCACCGAAAACAGCTACCGCCTCAATTCCAAGCCACTATCATGGATCACCCAAGACAGCGAAAACTCACCTCGCTTTCAATCCGTATGCCTAAAGGGGCCTTTAAAATAGTTTACGTGGTGAAATCTAACTTTGATTGAGGAGGGGGCGGTTCCGTCGTTACATCCCTTTCCTTTAATACAGTACTAGGGTTGGGTCTATATACCTATATGTCTTTCTAACGCTGTTTCTAAGCATGACACACCCCTGTGGTTTAGCCTGTATCTTTGTTGTCTTATTGCTTTTTGTTGTTTTTACAAGAACATATATATGCTCTCTGCCTCATGCCATTCATTTACCTGATGAAGGAGTAAGGATATACTAGGGTTGAGACGATTCACCGATACATCACGATACATTTAAGTTTGATACAGCTATTGTATCATTGACTGGTGTATCGATACAAATCGATACACAACTTTTTTCAAAACAGCATTATCTTAAACATGTTAAAGTACTTATTTAGAGAAAACTACACAAGTGTGAGTTACTTGTTTGTTTATTACAATAGTGTTATTGTTATACACAAATACCTTGAAATAAATCATTTTATATCTTAATACTGTGTCATTCTTTCAAGGTCATGATGTATGTATATCGTGATACGTATCGTATCGCATGTAAAATATCGCGATACGCATTGTATCGTGACATAGTGTATCGTCCCAGCCCTAGGATATACTCCAAAACGTTGTGTTCCTCATAATAAAGAAGTTGACATCCATAAAAACTCTCTTCCTTAAGTGTATCACTTCTAAATGCCATTCAAAGACATGACCATTTTGTTGATACAGACTATGGCACAACACACATATATGAAAAACGTGACTAACAATATTTTCAAAATGACCCACATAACAGAGGGCTTGTGGGCCATAAGCTCTCTTTTTAGAAAAGCTTGAATGAACACTTTAACAATATAAGCCAGGTTTGACTTTATATAAGGAAACAAAGTGTAACAGCTGTGGAATTGTGATGAATTCTTGACAATACATATCATTTTACAAACCATGGGTCTGGACAGTCCCATGTAAAGCTCAGGGCCAATATCATGCAAGTATATTAATGCTATCTGAATATGTACAACTATAACCAATACATTAATGTGTACTATAATAATTTTTTATACATGTGTATGTCAGAACTGCTTCTACAGAATGATTACACAATGCCATTTAGAAAGTGGTCAAATGTAACATATGTTAAATTTGGGAATACACTTTCTTAGTAAAGTACAGATTCTTGTACTTTTGGGGTTGAGTCCCATTCGGGATTAGGTGCCTGACTCTGAGGGTGTGGGTTTGAAATGGGTACTCAACCCCAAAAGTACTAGAATCTGTACTTTATTAGAAAGTGTAATCCCAAAAATAACATAATGTTGCTTCTACAGAAAATGGATGCCTTTAGTGCACATACTTGCACTTGTATTATTGCTATCTGAATATGTACAACTATTACCAATACATTAAAGTGTACTATATTCACTTTTTGTACATGTATATGTCAGACCTTTAACGGCCTCTACAGAAAATGGATGCCTTTAGTGCACATACTTGACAAACTGCGGCAAGGAATCTCAGTGGGCTAGCACTATAAAACAAGCTTAAGTCTGGGCTAGTACAAGCAGCCGCACATACACATACACACGCCATCATATAAGCGAAATATTCTCAAGCACAACGTTAAACCCAATTTCACCTCACCTCACCCATATATTAATGTGCACTGTATTCATATTCACATTTTGCACATGTGACATGTATATTCCAAGGGATGAATGAGAAGATTTGAACAACATCACGCAAGTACCCAAGTTATCTCTGCAGCCTAATCCAGATGGAAACGAACGTCATTGATTGCTTGGAGATGTTTGCGCAACTACAAATACCTGACACACACTCATAAATTATTATTATTATTATATTATAAATAATCTGCAAATACAAGTATTCTGAATGGCCATACTTTCTACTTTCATATTTTGCTTCAAATCAAATCCCAAGGAGAAATACAGGAATTTGAATAGCCTAACTAAATATGTGGGTCTTTAGAAATATCCTAACCTAATTGATTCAGTATACTGATGTATGCTTTTCACACTGCTGAACAGCAACAATAGTCACATTGAATCACGGAACAAACGACATTATTTTCTAAATAGTTCTACTTCATATCGATTTCTCATGACAGATATCCAACCTGTTATCTTAACAACATTTCCACAACAACAACAACAACAATCTTTCACATGAAGTATTCATCGTGTCTACAACCGGATCGTGGCTATTGCGTCGGTTAACCCACACTTTCACTTATTAGTACAGAAAGATCGATCTATTCCATGGCTGTCTAACGTTAGGAGAATACTATTGTTTACTGTAAATGTAACTGACCAGACGACTTTATACCCGGCGTGTATGCTGTCTACCTAGTGACACTTACATCCAGTTTCGCGTTGTATTTCCTCGATCTCTTCTTGTTGAAGCTCTCGAGATGAACGAACACCCATGATGTCGATACAACGAGGATGAAGAAGGAAATGTGTCAGTATCCTTCCATGCGACAGCTGCAAAATTGGGGTCAAGGTCAAATGCTGCATGATGATCCAGACATATAAACACTATATATTGACGCAATTGTTTTGATAGATTATAGATAATGTGCAGAAGAAGGAATATCACGTCTTTCGTAGTGATCATAAAAAAAATAAATCATTTTGTTATTGGTTATAATTATAGTTCTTTAGGACATCACCGCAAAATTGTGTGAGTGAGAGAAGCGGACGTACAATGTCTACGTATTGTTGATGCGGAACGCCACACTTCATCCTTCATGAAAGTGCATCGGGCCAACGGTAGCTATAAGTATCTCAATAAAATCAGTTCATGTATCAGTGAATATGGTTTTACGCCGCGTTTATCAATATTCCATTATCACGGGGGTGATACGAGAAATTTAATTCACACATTGTACCCAAGTAGGGAATTGAACCTAGGCCTCCAACGCTACCCACTGGGCTACCCCAGGGTAATTCTGAGCAAAGCCGCGATATTGTCAGTGAATGTCAGTTTTCAGGAGAGGATTTTGTGATTACATTGTAGTTAATAGAATAGTTAGCAAAAGTGTCGCTTTCAAGAAAGTTCAAACCTTGAAACGGCATGGGTTGCCTGACCTGAAACATCAGTGGAACTGAAGTCCTAATAGATTCAACACAAGCCAGGATAGGCTCGTCCCATCCATTTGATCACAACTAGTTAAAAACTAGGATTGCCTCCTGGGCAATACTGACGGTCCTCGGACTTCCCGCACATTGAGCAATATATACATATATATGCTAAATGAGAGATGTCACTTGAAACTAATGAATACAATGAATATTATGAAAATGCGACTAGGCAAAATTGACCAACTTCCAAGGGCGATAACTCAAAAAACTATTTTAAGATATCGACATGCCTTGAGCAATCTCAGTCGTCCGAAGTGTGGGCTTTACAACGATATATCAAACACGAATGTACTATTTGCCGTTCAGGCGGAGAAGATCTTTAAACACAGGCGCCGTCAAAACGGCGCAAATGTGAAATGTAATGTTTGTGTTTGTGTCGAAACTGTGACGTAATTATTGACTTTTACATAACAATAATGTGAAGCAAAACTGTTACCCATTCATTTATTTACGGTTTGGTACCTTGAAAAAGAAGATTTTTAAACACAGGCACCGTCAAAACGCAAAAATCGACAAAAAACTTTAAGTTTTTTCAAAATAGCGGAAAATCTATCATGACGACTAACTTCCGCTATGCGTTGAATCGATGAACAATGTTGTCTACATTGAGTGAGAATTTTGTCAATTTACCTCTTATAGTTTTTGAGATATTGAGGTTTAAATATTTTAACATTGGGGTTATCTGCTCTTACCAGGACAGCTGGTACAAACTTCGTACAAATAATAATAATATTCGAAAAATAACAGTAGGTCTTCCAGACCTTCGTTTGGAGACCTAATTTTTTTGTTCAAGATATGAAAGAAGTCACTTTCAACAGCGCTGCTCAGTTCGTCCTAACTTCCCTTGTCATGACTTCAGCGAACGGAATCACAAATAACTGCTCTGAATCTCTGAATTTTCTGCTGAAACGAGTATTTGATTTCAAAGAACACAGACACGACCAGGTACTTTTAGTCCTCTTCCATCAGCAAAACTTCTTCTACTTGGAAATCCAACGTGGTCAGGCAAGCGTAGACGACCTCACGCTGGAACCTTCAGATACAACTGTGACACAAGCTGCTATGTACCCGGACAAGACTGTGGAATCAATCAAATCCTCAGGTGGTATCAACATACCTAAACCGGAGAAGAACCACGGCTCAGATCAGGTATCACTCAACACGACAGCCGTGTCTGAGGGTGCTGCCAAGCCCAGTCAGCCCAGGCTCAACGGCTATCACAGATACACTTAGCCCGGACATTGTACCAATCTGGTGGTGTAACTCATGTACCAGAGAGGGCTTGTTTTGTGGTAACTGGGAGCAAAGGTGATCCGTATGCTGTCCGGCTGTATCCAAAGGAGTCCTGTCAATGCCCATCGATGACAGTCTTTTACCATATGTTAGCTACAAAGTTATCACTAGATCAAGGTAATAAGACCATAAATCTAACAAGTTTAAAGAAAAATAGTCACAAACGTCAAGATAAGAAATCTGGTAGGAAGAGTCCCCGTAAATTAGATGTGGATCAGTGTGACGTTGAGCCAGTCCCCGACTCGCAAGCTTCAGCAAACAGTCGACCCAGAGATGATGCTTCAACACCCGCTCTGTTAACTAGATTGCATTCTATCCTTAAAAAACGCCAACTAAAAGTCCAATCTTTTCCTCGCGTAGAAAAATATGCTTCGCCATTTCCCGAGATTCAAAATGGTGTTCCCTTCCAATGAAAGGTACGTGTTCTATTATACTCTCGTTTTTGAATAAGTATATTGTAGCTCTATCCTTAGAGCACATTAACGTTTACTCTCTCAATTAGTTGTTGACATTTGATTATATACAAGTTCATAATTATTTTTTCAGGGATGATTGTCGAACACCATCCCCACAGTCGAACACCTCATCATCCAGAACAGAGATTTATTGTATTTCCGGACCGTCATCACCAACCAGTAAGGACCTGCCTTCTGAGGCTCCACAAGCGTCTGTCGCAGAACCACATACATGGAGCCACGAACAGTGGCTGCCGGAATCATATCTTCGGTCGTGTGAAAAAGACGACCTTTTGTTCGGTGCTTGGCTAAGCTCTCGTCACATGGAAACTGTTAACATTCTCTTAAGGAAACAGTTTCCCAACATCTTCGGTCTGCAGCTTACAGAGCTTGCCACATGCCGGAATATACAGAAGCTGTGGATTATCCACCCCGTCGATTAAACTGTTCCTCAGATTCCGTCAGTTCAAATACACCATAATGCCAGTTCCCTTTTAGTCGTATCGTTTCCTAGACACGATGAATTAGACGACTCTCTTTACTTTCATGACAGTCTCCAGTGCATCCCGACGGTTTAAAAATCCAGTTCGACCAAATGTAAGTAAATGGGAAACGCAATCTTCATTTTGGAATGCCCGATATGCGCCAGAACAATGGAAGTGATTGTGGTGTGTTCGCAATAGCTTATGCTGTTGAATTTTGCTTTCCGCATGAATGTAAGCTGTAGACTTTAGTAGCTTATGGCATCCCTAAAATGCGACAACATCTACAGCAGTGCTTCCAGAGTGGCTACCTCACCCGCTTCGCAACGGCACAATACCAGACGACGACGATTGCCAGGGTGAGCTAGTATCCTCACATACACTACTTTGTTGTCCCCCGCCGCAACGCGGAACGGGGGACTATGTATTCAGCGGCGTCCGTCCGTACGTCCCGATTCTTGTTAACGCGATATATCATGAACTTTTGTACCCAATGTCTTCAAATTTTGTGACAGCCTACATTGGGGGATTACACAGACACCAGTTTATTTGGGTGACCTAGACCTTATTTTCAAGTCCACCACGACACTTTGACCGCTTTTCAAACTTATTTAAACGCATTTCTCATAAAACATTGCACCCAATGTTTTCAATTATGTTGACAGTCTACATTGGGTGATTATGCAGACACCAGTCATTTCAGGCACCTTGTATGTGACCAAAACATAAAAAGTAGTAAATATAGATAGTCCATTCTTTAGCGGCGGGGGACACTGCCAGTGGCAAACACTTGTTGTCCAAGTAACCATGGATTGCCAGGTGATTACGTTGTTACATATAAACTGAACTGAAACACATACAGCACAACTGGATATGGAGGTGTAACTGCAGTCTTCCAGCAGCGTTTGACACAAACATCATCAAGTGTTTAGTGTGTTGCGAGGGATTCCATTACCGTTGTACTGGACCTGGCGTGAGAGGGGTGGAATGGGGGTGTTCTCTTTGCAAGGTGTAAGTAGTTTCTAAGCATTCGTAAAACATGGGCTCGAGCATCTGTAATTTAGCAGCCCGTGGTGGTACTAAAAGTACCATATTCTGTGTGACGATTTTCTTGGCGCTTTTAATGATAACTTAGTGAGTGAGTGAATTTGGATTTACGCCCCTTTTTTGCCAGATTCCAGCAATATCACGGCGGGGGACACCAGGAATGGGCTTCACACATTGTACCCGGACATTAGGTAGGTTGGTTGGTTGGTTGGTTGGCTGGTTGGTTGGTTGGTTACAGTTAATTCAGTGTACAAGACGTGAAACAGAGATCCATTCAGACAAGAGCTCCAGAACCCATTCGTGCTTCACGTTAGCCATTGATTATAGCTGTTTATATTGGGTGTGTGTTTCTTCGTGCTTCACGTTAGCCATTGATTATAGCTGTTTATATTGGGTGTGTGTTTCTTCGTGCTTCACGTTAGCCATTGATTATAGCTGTTTATATTGGGTGTGTGTTTCTTCGTGCTTCACGTTAGCCATCCATTGATTATAGCTGTTTATATTGGGTGTGTGTTTCTTCGTGCTTCACGTTAGCCATTGATTATAGCTGTTTATATTGGGTGTGTGTTTCTTCGTGCTTCACGTTAGCCATTGATTATAGCTGTTTATATTGTGTGTGTGTTTCTTCGTGCTTCACGTTAGCCATTGATTATAGCTGTTTATATTGGGTGTGTGTTTCTTCATGCTTCACGTTAGCCATTGATTATAGCTGTTTATATTGGGTGTGTGTTTCTTCGTGCCTCACGTTAGCCATTGATTATAGCTGTTTATATTGTGTGTGTGTTTCAACATTTGTTGCACCAGAATGGGTGAATTTAGTTTTACGCCGCTTTTAGCAATATTCCAGCAATATCACTGCGGGGGACACCAGAAATGAGCTTCACACATTGTCGAACCCGGGTCTTCGGCGTGATGGGCGAACGCTTTGACCACTAGGCTACCCCACCGCCCTGTTGCACCAGAGACAAATGGTGTCCCATACGTTCCCCTAATAGTTTCTAGGTAAACAATTCACTAGCCTGCCCATATGGTGGGCCAGAATACGCGCACCCTTTCGAGCCCACCTGCGGTATCTAGACAATTTGAT